TGAAAAGTGCATTGATTCAAAAGATGGACCATCCACACTGACACAACAAACGAACAAACAAACCAACAGCTTGACTGGAGGAAGCTGTGAGGCCGCAGTAGGGAGCACTGGAGTCATTTTGATGATAATGCTGGATCCCTCTGTTCTCTCTGTCACAGGGCCTCGTGCTTTTACTTCAGCTCAGCTCAGCTGTCAGCCGCCAACGGCTACTCACTCAAGTGCCCGTGCACGTGTGTGAGCTCACACACCCTCGCACTCACACACACACGATAACCGAGGTTGCGGGATTGTGTGCACGCTTGTATGTAATTACACAGTGATGGAACATATGATAAAATAGTCCAATAAAACATGCGTGTGTGTGTATAATATTTCAGAAATGAGGAGCTATCCATGTGTGGTAATTAGGATGCTTATAAGCAGCAATAATTGTGTATTTGTGTGATTAAGACAGTAATCAGAAGGTAATGACACTTCAGTGTGATTTATGACAATGGGTAGAATTTCACAGCTGAAAGGTGGCAGGTTAAACAACAGTGACCCGCCAAATACCAAGAGAGATTTAAACAAAGGCCAGAGCTAATTCATCAGTGAAACAAGGGGGCTGGAGAGTGGGATGTGTGTGCCGCAGAGGTTTAGACAGCATGAGGATTCTTTTAGATGTGAAGAGATGTTGAGGTTACTGTACTTACTTGTGATGGGTGAAAAGCGAGTACCCATGGAAAACATTTTTCATGAAGGAAGAAAATGCTCTCCATGCTCTCGGTTTATTAAAATGATTGCACTGGATTTTGAGAGGTTTTCAAAATGGTCATGAAACTCAATCACCACACTAGTGAAATAAAATTTGCAGTCGCTTGGTTTCAACCACAACAGTTTTATTCTGCGTACATCTACAGATGAAAGCAACACTCTCTCCAATACTGATTAAAGGCTCTCCGCTCCCACCGAGCTCCACGCTGGTTTGGGTTCATTCAATCTCGGCCTTGATTACTCGATTGGTCTCATTGATTGAAGGGGAACTTTAATGACCTATTATCTCAAGTGTTAATCAGGTGTTGACAGACAGTTCTCTGTGGGACTGGGCAGGGCTGAGGGCCAGAATGGACAGAGCTTGTTGGACTCCTGCTGCTTGGATGAGTCAAGGGTTGAGCGGCACACAGAGTGCAGACACGCCGCTCGGCAAGTTTCCCTCTGGAGCACAGTCTGTGCGCGACGGTGACATCATCCTTAGTTTGCCCAGGTCGACTATGACTCAGATGTTTTGGTGTCTTTTTTTAACACGCTCGTTCTCACTCGCTTTATCTTCCCTTGTTACGGTTTTACCACCTTGTGAATTAGCTCGAAATGAAAGAGAAAGGGTACTGATATATAAAAATTTGAGCCACTGCGTGTTCTCCATGTGTTCTCATTTCATTTTGTATTTATGGAATATGACCGGTTGGTAAAGTTAAGTAAATTCAGAGGAACTGTGTTAACCTTGTGCAGTATTACTCATTGGAAAGGCTAGAGGTTTTAATAGGAATAAGGGCAATACATTAAATTGAGCTACTGATTGTAGTTTTGGAATGAAATTACTTTCCAAATCTACATAATGCACTTACACTATATGTGGTGTGTCTTATCCTCAAATTCATATATTTCTCTAAACAGGCTTTATTAAAAAAATAAAAATAATGAAGCATTTTGAGGCAGATTCAGTAAGCAGCCTGTCTGTGCTTATCGATGTTGTTTCAGAATTTCAATGCATATTTTGCTCTGTATATGTAATTGTTACAGTGTGTGGTTTTCTTTGTCAGGTTGCTCTTGAAAAATGTTTTTGTTGCCGTTGAAGTGAAGAAAGAAATCCTCGTAATTGCACTTTAGTTTTCAAAACTTGCATTTCATGTATTACTTAAATGTCTCCTGGAAGACATTTTCTGCTCTAATAGTTTTTCTGTTGTTCAGGTGGCAGGGGGGTGGAAATCTCAGCAAATGCACTTCCAGCTGTTCCTGTGGAAAAAACTGAGATAGCTACATGTCCAAGTTATACCTGTCTGCATCACCTCCTGTATCTCCAACCTAAATCTATTTTGTCCCTCCCTCCCCCACATCTCCCACTGCATCCCTCTCTTTAATTATCTCCCTTTTCAATCCCAGCATCTTCAAGTCTCATCAATGCTTCTTAATTTCCATCAATACCACTGCAGCCTAAGCTCTCCACACCTGTCCAGTCACCATGGCAACCTCACCTCTGACAGCAAAGAGCTCTGTAAGACATGGCATGCTGTATTCCCCTTGATTAGGTATTGATTAAGCTTTTGTAATACATAATAGGATCAAAGGGATTGTGCAGCTTTGCTTACCCAGGTCTTCTTCACACTTTCATTTAGTTATATTCTTTTGTTATTTAGGAATCTGCATGTTAAGAGGGATGGAATCGAAATTTGCCACCCTTTGTCATAGCCATTCAGAGCCTCCTTCAGGGACCAGACCTTTTTTTTTTAAGAATCATTAAAAAAAATAAGTGGTGAAGAGGAGGCACAAAGACTCGTCTATGCAAATCTGCAATTTGACAGCACATTCAGGTTTCTGAGTGGCGTAGCTTATGCTTAGTGTTTGCAACATGTTTCCCATTAAAGAACATGCTAATAGGCCCACTGGAGTGTGCAGAGGCTCCCGAATGCTTGAGTGTCCCTAATGGATGCATTGATAGATTAATGGACGATAAAAGTCAAACGCTAAATGCATGGTAAGTGACAAGTGATAAGTCAATGTGGTAAATATTTGTGTAGGACATAGTTAAGAAGTTGAAAGGCCATTATTCACGATTACCTACAGACAAGCCATTCCTTGGTATAATCAGGCACATGGCATGAATTTAAAAGCGTATGAAAGTAATGGTCTGGAGTGCTTTTCTGTCAATTACATATTAGTGTCAGCTGCATAAAAGTGAGGAAGACACGATAAAATTAGTTTATCATAAAGCCATTAAATTGGTATTTTTAATCAAATGTTCCATGTGAGGAATATAGGTGAATATAGTCATCTATTGATAATGGTACATGTTCAGAGTAATCATGTTTGTTTTTTATCTTTAGCTGCCAGATTTAATTAAAAGTACAGTTTGAAAAGATGTATAAAATCTAACAAAATTTGCAGTTTTATGAGTATTTGGTTTGGAAAATACTTAACACTTTTTTTAATTTAGCCAATTCACACACTGCCCTTTATGTATAAAGTACATTTGTTGATGTGAAAGATGTAATTCTAAAATCCTAAAGACACTTGCTTGAGGACACTAGAAGGACTGAAACAGATCTTTCAAATGGCAGCTTTTTCTCACATGTCTGTGTTGTCAGCTGCAGTATTTGAGCTTCATAAGACCACCCCATCCCAATCAACATCACCAGTAAAGTAAATACACACAAGAAACACTCACAGCCAGACAGGAGGTTGTGTGTTTGTCAAATTTACACGGAAGATTTAGAGGGATACAAGGTTGAGAGAAGTGAGAAAAACGATTTTTCCTTTCCCACACTGAGAGAAAAGGGGAGTCAGAATTGAGGATAAACCCAGAAACTGCAAAGAACCATGTTTGGAACAATCTGACCTTTTTTTTTACAACTCAAACAAGGATAAAGACAACAAAATGTAATAACTTTCCCCTATCCAATCCATACTTCATGATTATCCCTCACTCCAAAACATTGGAAAAAATGGAACTGTCAAAGGAGTCTTGTTGTTCCATTTTCTTTCCCTTGGCCCCCCTCCTGGAGACAAACAAACAAACCCCTGTTAGCACATTTCATTAGCTTTAGGGGTTACAGAACAGATTGAGTATCGACAACGGTGGCTGTCGAGGCTTATGGCTCAAAGGCAACAGTAGAGGAAAATCTCAGGGGTAGGAGATGCAATCGAAAGGACCAAAATAATTCAGCAGGACTCACTCGAGGAACAATCCAGTTTGTCATGTGGAATCATGGAGTGTCTGCCGCACAATGAGAAAGGGTCCCCGAAGACTCGGCACAGGAGTCGACATGTGAATAGCCAAGAGTTAGTGCCCCAACTGGCCACTCTTTGCCTTTTTATCACCTGCAAATTTAGCAACCATAAATCTGTTTCCACACCAATGCTACTACACGGACGCACCGGAGAGGCCTATAAACAAGAAATGATGTCTGGTGTCTTGGGATGGTTTGGTCATTGATGTTCCCTGGGGTGTCATACTCTTCTCTGGAGACAATTACTGTCAGAGAGTTTTGATGCTTTCCCTCTGTTGTGATGGACAGTTGTGGCTGCAGGAAATTGTTGAACCATGTTGATTTGAAGTTGACAAGTTAAATTATCTCACCCGTTGTGCACAGGGGGTTTAGGTTAGTTGTGGGACACAACATTGTATGGGCTTTTCCTTCTACTATAATAGGCTTTGAGGCGTCTGGTCGCTTCTGACCGACTCCGAGGGTTAATGAGGGAGGAGGAGACTTGGGGCCGTAAAAAGAACACTGACCATAGGCTTCAATGTGACCTGACCCCCCTTACCATAACGTCTCTGTCGATAAAGCGCAGCGTGAGGAAAACCTCTGATTAATCGATTGACCTCCTGCTGCTTATTCACAGACGATAACCAGCAGCACCCACTGCACCTGATTTTGTTTCCACTGTAACACCTCCACGAGACAAGAGCTGAATATCCATTTCCCTTTAATCAATTCACAATTTATTCCCCTCCCTCTTCCAATCTCCCTTCCATTTATTATGCATTATTCGCCCTTTTTAAACGATTTTCTACTAACCGTCTCATCTAATTTGGTATTCGGATATGGTTAGCGCTGTTAGCTCAATTAATACAATGACATGTCCTAAATGCATTCTCTCCACAATCCAAGTGACAAGAGGACACCGAACACTTCACATCTTTGCAAACGGGGTCATGCATGCACACCATGGTAGATCCAAACCTTCAGGAATTATTTAATCAAGTTATGTGAATAGATAAAAAGGACAAAGCAGGCTCAATCTTCTACAGGACTGTGCTTTATTTTAGTCTAAGCAGAATATAATGAACTAGAGAACTACAGAGTTCAGGAGCACTATGGGAGATATCACCCCGTATCAGGGAAACGGACCCGAGCCAACGCTTATTCAAATTACATCTCTGTTTCGAACAAAAAGAAAACAGTAAATCAGTTTGTTCAAGTCCAATAACAAAAGAAATGATTATTCCATTCATTGTGAATATAAGTATCCAAATATATTATGATAAATGAATTTTGCATGAGTACAAACGAAGAGGATGAAATTAGATAGTGAAGCTGGGAATGTAATGATTCATGATACAAAGATCCACGGTGCAAAATTACCTGTGACTAAATGTAAATTCTTTAAAGGCTCTCATTGAATGCTTGATTGGAGCAAACTGCTCAGTTAGCTGAGTTTGTTTACATTTTGGTCCTTGTAACCAATGGAAATGGAGGTGGATGACCACGTCCTTATTTGTGTCAGAATGGGCTTGAGGCAAAACTGACTCCGGCAAAGTGTTTGTCTTTACAACAGATTTTTGACATTTGAAGATAGAACATTTGGCATCCCCAGAATACAGTGTGTCTGACAACTGTTCACAGGTAGTACTGTCAGAGAGAACAGGCTGGGTTTAAGGCAGAATTCCCTCCTCATTAACAAATCAACCTGACTGGAGGAAAGCAATGTGGCACTATCTACTGTTGGTACAATGTCGTCAGTGGATGGATTTACATTAGATAAAACACTGGAAGAAACTTCCTTTAGGTAAGAACAGAGAAGATGAAAATCAGAGATATGTCAATGATTACCACCGACCGACCCATCAAAAAAAGAAATTAACAAGCAAAAAAAAAAAATAAACAAACAAAAACACAATTAAAATTGACAGAAAAAGACAAGAACATTATAGGAAACCATACATGGCTTAAAGACAATGAGATATGACAGCATAGGTCTCAAAACTAATCCAACTGCAAAGTATGATATATTTTTTTGTCTTTTTTGTCTTTTTTTCTCAAAACAACAAAAGGCCTCAAATGAGATTCTTTTTTGAACATGCAATGCTGATTCATTTGAACTCAGTTGTGCAATGGACTCATTTTTCTGAATCCACATGACCAGTACCATCAATAATCCTTTTTACAGTGCAGTTAGTTAATTCTCGTATTGATTTAAGAGCTTTCAGTGAGCAAAATCTCTTTGAACTTGGCCATCCACGAGGGATTTCATACAGGGATTGTGCAGCCAAAAAAATAAAGAAAAAGGAAAAATGATCAAAGCATATACAAACAAACCTCATGACAATGGGTCTATCCCAGCTTCTGCAGATAATAAGAAAATAAAACAGAGAAAATAAAGAATCATTTACTAACATGAGTATAAAATCCCATTTTTGAACATCAGTGCTTCACTGTACAAGAAATAACATCATTTTATCTTCTGTTTTTGATAAATTATTTCATAGGTTCCTTCTCTTAGTTTCACTGAAATATATTAACTATTCTTTTACTTTTTTAAATGTTTTAACATGATCTATTGTACGGCCTATAAAGAAGGTTCAACAGAATTGAAAAATAAGCTATATTGTATGTACAGGAGTAACGCAGCTGTGTGGTCAGGAGAGCAGTGGCAGATTGGGTCAAGCAGGCAGGGGGATCTGCTGGGTTCTACAATAATTGCTCTCTTGTTTGTCCCCTTCCTCCAATCTCAGCCTAACCATGTGTATTAAACGATGATTTATGTACATGTTGAACAAACTGTTACCTGGAGTTTCATTTTGTATAACTAACTTCCTTAAATGTTGTAAAGCCCAAACTTTCACTTCCAAAGAATTGTGGTGGCTGATGCTTTTTTTTGTTGCACTGTTAAGCGGTAAGCATGCAGATGGATGAACTCTACTGTCACTGTCATATCTGTTCATCAGCCCCAATTGAACTAATCCAATTACCGCGTAGGCGATCTTTCTTCTGTCAGAAAAATCATGACATGTCGGTGTACACAGAATCTTAATTAACGGATCACTTCGGGGCCGTGGCTTAGGTTTGACACTAAGTCAAATACTCTAAGCCTTGGTCCGATGCTTAGGGTTGTAGGATGCATGTTATATCAGAGCCCAAACTTAAGGGGCTTACAAGGACTAAAAATTATCCTAGATCCCTGCACTGCTGTGGATACATTTTATAGTGACATCATTGTCCCACAGAGTTGGGCTTCTCAACACAAGCTGCTATACAACCTCCCTCTGTTTTTGTATTTTTATAGGCTATTTACATTAAGGAATAGAAAAAGTCTTTGTCTTCATTACTGTCAGCCATGTTGTTAAACACAGTCGAACACCTCCAGCGATTCACTGTGCGGTGTAAGGTGGACACTGGCATCATTTTTTTTTTGTTTGTGTTTGTTACTCTTGAAATTGGAGGATGATACTATAAATCCAAAGCACAATTTGGGTGGTTCATCAGCCCTTCTGCTGGCTCAGCACTCCCTGCGATGGGATGCGATCTTACAGCACTGACCTCACATTTGTGATTCTGCTCGACCTCTCTCAAGAGCAGGGGTAAGGCAAGGCTCTGAACCTCTCCACTAATCGTGACATCATAGCGCCTGATGCCCTGAGTATTGGGAGTGATTTTGTGGAGTTTCAGTTTAGCACACAGCACCCCCACCACCCAAAGCCTATTTCCACCTCCACCTTTTTCCATACAAATCCCATTTCCACAGCAAAACCCTTTCTGCGCTAAAGTGAGATGACGGAAAAGCTCTCTCCCAAAGCAGCTATTAAATGAGAGGCATTAATTTCTTCCCTCCTGTCCAACAGGTTCCTTTAATTATCTCTCCACTTTCAGTCAATTACATTTCACTTCCTTTCCTTGACAATCACTGCTATTTTAGGGTGAGTGTTATGCACCCAGGGGGTTGGAGACTTGTAGACATGCTCTAGCAGTTCTCTGTTTGGCCCCACCATTGGCTGGGGCCCTCTAAGGATACATGCTCCTCTAGAGGACTAACCTTGTGAGCAGTGGTGTAGTGGTGACAACTGAGGAAATAGGTATACAACATATACACCCCCCCCCCATTTCTCATTTAAGGATATAAGGTCAGAGCGGGTACATGCATCTGTGGCACAGAAGCATGTGGTCTAAATGCTTATTGTATCAGAACTGGCTGTACTTGAGTGTGAGATGCTAAACAAAGACCTGATGGCTACAGAGAAGCTAACATCATTTTTGACATGTCCTTGTAGGGTTTTGCTAAATGCTAAATATTCTGTCAATTAATTAGAGTCATACTAATTCCTTTTGACTAAAATTCAAAGTTCCATTTTATCTTTTTAAATTAGAGGACAAATATCAAATAGTATTTTGGCAACAGCTTGGTGAGTGCCTGCTGGGTTGACATTTGTCATTGCTCTTAGAGGTGAAACACGGCCTGGATTACAGTAAAAACCAGACCACACTGAGGCTGGGAGCAGGGCAGGCAGAGACTCTTGTCAATAAATGGCGGAATGAAATGATTGAAAAACAGTCTTTTCTTGTTTTGGTACTTCCAGAATATGTTTCATAGCTATTTCTGTTTTTAATGCACGTCACTTCAGTAACATCCTCCCTGGGGTGTAAAAGTACAAGAGCACCCTTGTTAAAAGTGTTGAAGTGCTGATTTCATATTGCCTAATTTAGCCCTGGCATAGCAGAGATGCTACATGAACACTGCACTGTTAGCCAAGCAGACAGCAGGATACTAGGCTAGGCTGGGTTTTGGCTCACTGGGGACTCAACCTGCCATTAGCAGTGGGAACTAGTACAGCATCTGGTACGAGACAGAGAAGATCAGTGGAGCAGGCATGCAGGGTTCATGTTCAGCCTGACAGAGCCTCACTTGCAGAACGTATTGTAAAGATGGCCGAGACAAGCACAGGAAATTTGATTGCTCATGGAACATTAGATTTCTCATCGATTAGTTCAGCTTCACATGAATAATGAGCACAAATGGTTTGGAGACCATGGCTTTGTTTTGACCTACTTCGCATCACTACATTTCATGTAGCTTCCTGCACTTCCGCCTAATGTCCAATCATGGGCTGAGGAAGGAGGGCGGGGTTTTCGCCTTCATGTATTTGAAGGCAATCTTTAAAAAGCTGTCATTTTGATGGGCATCACTTTGCATCTGAAGAACTACTGTGCTTCACAAATATTCTTTCACTGTTGAACAATACTGTGCTTTGCAGGTGTCCCAGCAGGGATACAAGCCAGTAAAAGAAAGAAGTGTAGAGCAAGTTGTTTTGTAAAAAATTGCGGCCTCTGTAGAGATAGTTGAGACACAATTACATGCTGAAAGAAGAAGCACAATAACACAGTTCTTACAGCAGCTGCTTTTACAGAATTGAGGATTTCCAGCAAAGTTGCTGCTTTCGACCCATTTTTAAGCAACTGTTGTTGCAATGTTGTGCTAAGGGGGGGGGGGGCTTCATAAATTTTGTCACCCACCTTTCTCTTTTCATTTTTGGTAACATCAATCTACTTTGCAATATTAAGACCTCGCTATGATATGGAGGGTTTTATCCCACATCCTCCATTGCCTCTTCGGGTAAATTTGGCAGTATTATTGGTGCCAGGTCAGCTGTCGGCAGCCTTGCCAGGGAGTAGGCACAAACATAATTCTCTCTAATCTTCCTTCTGTCATCCATGTGCATGCAGGGGACCGTCTCTCCCGTCATTTGGTCCAAGTGATTATCCTGGTGATTTTTCACTTGGTTGCTGCTAATGTATAGAGGCTGGTGATTACAGTGTGATTAGAGGGAAAGGTGAAATAGCATGTCTAATACGGTGCAGGAGATAATTGAAGGGTAGTGAGCACAGACATTAGCCAGGTTCGAAAATGCTGTTCCAAGGGGAGAGCCGCTGAACAGTTGGGCTGAGGTTTGGAAAGGCATGGCTGCTCTTGGGACAGGGGAAAGAGAGGACATACATGGCACGCTGATATCAAGGACTCAAATCAAGACCTTCTGCTTATTTAAATGACAGAGAATGGTAGTACACTGAAGAGTCTGGAATCTGCTGGCACATTTTTATCAGTCCCTCCTTCAGTGAATTGGAATATATCTGGTCTGCTTTTCTCTCTAAAGAAAGATAGAGAAAGAGGCAAGGAGAAAAGTCTCCATAGCAAAAAGGTACTGGTTGGACTGGAACCTAAGGTAACAGATTCCATTCCCATTTGAACCTTTTAATCCTGTTCTTTGAAAACATATAGCCAAGATATCTAGCGTGTGTCACAAGGAGCTTTATTACAGCTTCTAATTTTAGGGATTAAGTCATTGAGCATCATCCTAGAAGCATCAGTTTAAAGGATCTCAATGTCATGTTGGGTTGTTGACTTCCTCTCTTTGCCTCCCTCTCTCCTTCTTGCCTAGCCATGCCTCTTACTGCCAGCTGTCAGTGCTCAAAGGGCTGGTGTACTGATGTGAGCTGGTGTTCGACAGAGAAAATTGGGAAGTGTTCAGACTGATTGAAACAGCATTGTTCCTCCCTCTAGACCCATTCCAAACATATTGATCTGCTTTAAGAGAAGAACCTGCATCTAGAGCTCTAAAACAGTCAAAATAAAGGCTATAGGACTCTAACTCAAGACATGACAGTCCTGGAGTACTTTACTCTGTCCTGCTGCAGTATCAGAAAGGCTACAAGCGAGCTGAGTGATGGTTAAGAGTGACTGTTCGATCTAATTTAGATATAGTCTGTTTAAGCACTAGCTTTTTTCCTTAGGCTCTATGTATAATATATGAAGAAAGCAAGTCAGGGAACATGTTAATAATGGAATTTACATTATATTTGACAGAGCTAAATGAGCTCTAAAAGCCTGCGCCCTTTTGCCATCAATACAGTAAATTGAGTTTGTCTTCAGAGAAATGTTTGTTTGTATCTGCCCAGAGACAAGAGGCAATTTTTCTCAATCTGGAGTTTTGCAGCAGCTCCAGTGGACACACATATCCTTGGCATGTCACTTCTGGTTGTTTACAATGGGCATTCTTTGTTTTGTGACAGAATTCTGATGCCACAAGGGCCAATTCATTTGTGTACTAAGTTCATTCTGCTGGCAGTTTCAGTAGCTGTCACCTTACTCCTCCTCCCATTCTGTTTCCCTCATGACCATCCATTTGTCCATCTTTCTTAGTAGAACCATCTCCTTTTAACAATGTGTGGCTTCTCAATTCACACTCCTTGTTGCAATACAAAAGGTCAAGAAAAAAAAGAAAGAAACAAAAGACACACCATGTCCATTTTGCTTGGTCTTTACAGTGGATTGTCGCTTGAACACAAAGGCCAGTGAGAAGCCTTAAACGTCTGCACCCTGTCCAGCACAGACATTAGTAAGTTCAGTCTTTTTTTCTCTCTTCATTCTTTTTTTTTTCTTCCAGAACAGGCTGTTCATAGCTGTCAGAGAGTGCGGTGACTTATACATCATGATGAGCGAGATATCCAGTGGCTGGTACCTTAAAATCCAAGAGAAGAGACTCGTTGCGTACAGGGGCAGATGAATGTTTTCCTTCCCCCTCTTTTGCCCCTGTTTCATTACAACTTCAAGTATTTTTTAAACAACAGCAAAAGTTAGCAAATCTACTTTTTTTTTTCTAATCTACTTTACTATACTACAACCTGGTGCTAAATCAGCATCCAGAGCAAAAGATCAGCCCCTATACTACTATCCCATGTCTTTTTTTATACATTATTTCCATTTTCTTTTATTCGTACTTACAGTAGGCCACTGGATATTGATTTAATGATTTTTTTTGACTACGAGTAAATTGTAATACTTGCAGCTACAAGGTATGAGTTTTTAAATATATATTTATATATTTATATATTTATATTCTTTTAAAAAGCGTTTAGTCCTTTGGTCCCTATTTCCTAAGGAATGATGCATGTAAATTATCCTGGATTCTCCTCTTCTCTCCTCTTCTTCTTCTCATTTTCTTCTTTGATCCAGAGCTTGCCCTGTCACAGAGCACAACACCTGTGTAGGCACAAAAACCAAAATGGCAGCAGGCTGGTGTGTGTGTTTGTGTGTATGTGTGTGTGCGCACACGCATGTGTTTGCTTCAGTACTTGAGTTGGCATTTGCACGTATGTATACATGTACAAAGTAGTTTTTTTTTTCATTTTTCTTTTTTTTTTTAAGTGTAGCATCCTTAAATGTGTATGTTTGGTTTGTTTTCTGTGTTTATGTGTGTTTATCTATATCCTGTGTCAGTATGCATGCTTTGAGCATAATGAGTCTATAAAGGTTTTTTTTTCCCATCATGTCTAAAAAACAGCAGCAAAAAGTTGGTCTCTGCAAAAAATCTTCTTCCACAGACGCCAAAGCAAAACAGGGAAAAAAGAGGCATTTGCGAAGAGAGAAAAAAGGAAAAAAAACAAAAAAACAACAACTCTTGGATCCCTCTCTCAGTCACCCAATCTTTCAACGGGTTTCCAGCAGGATCAAGGGACCACCCTTCCTTCATGATATGTAGCAGAGCAAGAAGTCTTTGTACTTTTACTGCACTTGTGGAAATAAGGTGTTGTGGCCCTTCATCCTGTGACAGAGAGAGAGAGAGAGAGGGGTGGGGATGGGGGGAGTGGGGGGGTGGAGAGAATAAGGAAAGTGGATTCAGTGAGGCTGCGGCAAACATGCTCAGGGTTGCTGGCTCCCGGTTATCACACAGACTGACAGGCACAGCCAACAGCATGAGAAACAGACGGGGAGGAGAAAAAAAAGAGGAGTGTGTCAATCAAAACCAGAAATAAGTGGGCTAGAGGTGGGGTGGGAGATTTGTGTTTTAACCATATGGAACAGACAACTACACTGTGACAGCACTAATCCAAGGAAGGCCTAATTTAAACTGACTACATCTCCCTGCATGAAAAAGATACAGATGAATGTTGCCTGAGATGTTGCTGTCATTCATTGTATTGTTAATTCATTACAAAGAAACTACCAAAAGAACAAGAAGGAAACATAAAGAAAACAAGACAAGTGTATGTGCCAATGAATATGACTGATGGTTGTCCAATATGGGAAAAAAATGTACATATTTCAGGAAATAGCCTCTAATTAGGATCCCATGAAAACCTAGCATCTCCCATGCCTTTGTGTTGACTTAAAATGCTGCACTGTCACTAAATGTGTCCGTGCTGGCGAGCTTTGGATATAAAAGATCTAGTTTACAGCCTATCATCCCTAATATGCTGTGAGCTGTGATGTGGGTGAAGAAAGGCTATGAAATCACAGCAAATCACTCTCTGGGAGTGAACATGAAAGGGTCTGACTTTGTTACGGGAACACGCGCCCAGACGCTCTTTGTTCTACCTTTCCATTCCTGTAAATGAGCTTGTTACCATTTCATAATAGATCTGCTTTTTAGATGTGGGAGCGGAGATTCTAACTTATTCCTTATATGTGCCAAAGCGAGCCCAGCCATTAGCAGCATGAAGCACTAACAGTACTGATTACAGAGGCCCTCTTTTATAAGGCACTAGTGAGTCTTGCTATAAACATCTACCACAAAGCAGAAGAAACACACAGTGGCTTTAAAATATATCCTTTTTTTTTTCCAAAGTAAACAGCGTCTTTCGAAAATATCACAGCTATTTCACCCTCCAACTTTGTCAGATGATAAAGAATTTATTTTCTTTTTTTCCCAAGCTTTTTAGTCCCAGCATTATGTCCCCCCCATACTTAGATAGCTCCATAAAAGACACCTGGCAGTTAAGAGGCATAGTTGATGCCAGAAAGTCCTTATCCCTCCCGGTTTGCCTGGCTAGACACCCCCCTGAGTTCATTGGATAGACTATGGGAGGGCGAGTCACCTGCAGGGCTTCTGAAAGAATAAGGCAGAACGAGTTCAATGAAAACGACAAACTCTTATCAGGGTTTGGCCTGGAGGAATAGAAACAAACTCACTTGCAAAGAAAGGTTGTTTTTTAACGGTGAATCTGTTTGCCGCCTTTTCTTTTTACAGAACGAGTAACAATTATCTCAAACAGAAGCAGCAAAAACATAAGACCTCATTTATCTGGTGGCATAATCCTACCAAAAAACAACAGGCAGCGGCAAATACTCATCCCAGGTATTTGTATTTTGTTCTATCCCTGCGCCCTGCTTATACATCCATGTGTACAGTGTGCCTGCATGGTGGACAGATTTTGGCCGTGTGGGTCTGCAGTGCTGTCTGCAGCTCTGCTATCACGGTGTAATTGGTTTGCACCCTCATAAATAAATAAATGGGAAGTGATTCTCATGTTAGGCAAACAAAACAATCTTGCAGAAGTACTCCCTGTGCAGATGGAATCAAGGGAGAAGTGGAGTGTCAACATTTGCCTGTGCTCTCTGCGTGAACGGTGGAGATTTAATTGGCTACACAAACATAGGGTCATCTTGGCCATCTCTCAACTAAACAGCTGTCGATCGGGGGGAGAAAAAAGGTCCTTTTTGCAAAGATTCAGACATTCATAAAAAAATTATAGTTTGCTAAAAAAAAAAAAAAAAAAAAAAAAAAGACTGTTGATGTGAATGTGAAGAAATAGAGAAATAGAAAATACAGTACATCCATACACATGAACCCCACAAGAGAAAAATAAAACATCACAAGGGCACACGGTACAATAGCACAAAGGGTTAAAGGCCACTTCCAGTTATAATCAACCAACCAGTCAGCACGTCAGTTACATTATGTACAACAGGTACCAGCCAAGAAAGGCATTGTTTTACCGCACTCCACAAACTGCCAATATACAATATACAGTATATATATATATATATATAAAAGGAGGGCAGAATATAAAGATAGAGTTTAGAGATATCAATCAACGCCACGTCATGCAACGCAGTCACAGTCCCACCACATGACGTCATCCAAAAGAAAATGACACCATGGGTTCAACTTACAGCTGTGGGAACTTGGCCCCATGACAGGTGTGGGGGGGTGTGGCTATAGCGGAGAAAGGCCACCTCACACTGTGATTGGCCATGTCAGGTTGCCAGGTTGGTGGGGGTGCAAAAGAAGGAAAGAAACAGTGGGATTTTCTTTTCCTTAAGTCAGAATTCAAAGCACCCTTTCCATATTTGTTTCACACTCTCACTTACTCTGCCTGACAAATCAAATGAGGTTATTATGGTCATTACCATAAAAACTGAAAAAAAAAGAAAAAAAGAATTGACAAGTAAAACAGAAATAACAGAGCAATAATCTTCAACCCAGCACAAAAAGGACTTTTCTTTGTGCCTCAGTGTGGTGGTGAAAGGCTGACAACATTTGCAGGTTAAAAGGTTGAATTGATGTTTTTATATTTACAAAGATAACCCTTAAGGCAGAAATGCATATTTCAGAAAGTTGTCCTGTCTACAGTAATTGGATTTGCCTTGCATTGTTTGCTATGAGGGTGGCCGTACAGTAAGTGCTTCAGCTTTTCTGCATTAAGTTTATCTTTAAGACACAGAACGCAATTTCAGAGTAGAAGGGCTCCTGAGACCAGCGGAAGAGAATGCTGTCTGATCGTGTTTTTAATTCAACTTCAAAGCGGAATCGTCAGTATTATAGAAAAAAGAGGGGGCCTCTGAAGTTATCTTCATATTGAAGTTTTTACTCAAGAAACACAAAAAAATGAATCATTCAAGTTTCATCAAAGTTTTTCATCGTCAGAATGTAGTTGAATTTAGAAAATTAAACAGTTACAGTTGAACTCTACTTCTTACTTCTTATCCTTTCGCTCAAGAACTCAATGTACTGTCTGTCGCAATACAAGGCAATAAATGAAAAGAAAGAAATTAGAAGTAGATTGGTCATTTCTTTCAAATTCAACTCCTTTACATAAGATCCCTCATGATTTTCAAGAATCTATAAACCAGGAGCTGGCTTCAGAAGCCCTAGCATTTTTTTTTCTTTAATATTTTCATGGGATTGCTCTTGGTTTTGGTCTATTGGGTTTCCTTAACTCAACAACAGAAGTGATGTAATAACTGAAGAAAAACACAGAGATGAATTGAACCAGACCAGAGACGAGGAAGGACATGAAAACACACGCACACACACACACACACACACACACACACACACACACACACACACACACACACACACACACACAAACACACAAACACACATGCACCTCCTGAAAGATGACAGAAATGTTATTGTGGAAAATGTCTGTACTTGAAGACATTCTGAGTACATCTCAATGACTGTTCTGTCATTCAATGCTGTTGCAGGATATTTTCCATTTATCCCTCATTGATGTGCTAAATCAACCGCCCACCCCCCTTTCTCAGGTTGTCTGCTTTGAAAACCTCTCTTCAATTAGCAGGGCACAGCTCTATTCAAATGCTATCAGGCAAAGGATAAAGGGAGCATGTATTGCATACCATCTTCCATTAATGCCATCTTGTGGCTTTTAAAGAGTCAAATCTAAAACAAACAAATGGTATTACCATGCTTTTATTTGTGGAGGAATATAATCCAGGCTTATGTTATTGTAATGAAAAGTTGCCCAGCCAATTGGGCAAAGAGAGCATGCATCTATATTATTTTGCACTGGCAGCTGCACTTTTTAACAGATGGGCGAGGATTCTTTGAATCAAGCCTGACACTGTGAAATTAGTCGTTATTGAAGGATGGTGCTACTTCAAGTAAAGCATCTTTTTATTATTTTGTATGAAAGCTCTGACTTTTTTAAGAGCCAAAACAAGGAACTGTTGGCTGTTGAAGTTATCTGGTGACAGATACGTATCCTATCAGCACAACTAGATAACCATACACTTGCAAAATATCTTGTTTTCTTCACTATGTGAGTGCATCTTTTAAATGTTAACAGCAGATAAATTTGGGCATAGTTCCAAAAAAGATATGCTTGATTTCAGGAGGTTTAACTCAAATTTGTTCATTATTAATTAACACTGTTATGGATGTGTAAACACTGGCATAGTTTAACACATTCGCAACATGAATGTTAATTTTACATTTAGATTTTATTGCATTTTAAAAATGCTATGTATTAACACTGAAAGTTTTGCTATATACATTTCCATTTATTTATTTTAATGCCTGATAAAATCATAAGCAGTCAGCGCATTCGGTGCTACTTTGCTACAGGGTTACAGTTCATTTAAATAAAGATATGAGGACATGCTCTCAATGTAGAACCAATGTTCTCATGTGAAAAATGTGTAAAACTGAATAACCAAGGTAACACAAAACTAACACAGTCCTATGCTGTGTTTTGGCTATTTTGCAAGCAAAGAATGACAGGATATGAAAATGGACTGTGACTGTTTTGGTTGAGAACAGATTGAAGCGTCACTTGAACTAACCAAATGGTGCTTGCTGGGATTGGTGCTGTTCTCCACCATTAAACAAGCCACTGCAGTTTGTAGGGTGAGTAAGTGCTTTTCCATTAAGCATCTTTTTGTTTATTTTATTACTGTCAGCACAAACTTTTCTCTCAAACATTCTGCATTTACTCATCACGCTCATCAGTAGTCTTGTCAAAAGTTGTTATACTATGAATCTACTCTGTATTATTATGTGTCTCCTCACTGAATTCTCCTATAAGTAAAAGTTCAACTGAAAGGAGAAATCTAATGCTGAACTATTTTTGGAGAGAAATTACTGCTATCTGGTTTTATAAATTTGTCCCTTAACAACTCGTATCGATACGCCATCCTCAGTAGGTAATTATGCACAGCTGGGTATTGATGATGTCATCAATTTGCACTAGAGCATCCTGCAGGTACAAATTAGATTTCAAACCCCAGAAGAAACAAAAACAAATCAGTGGAGCAGGACAACCTGACAAAAATCTCAAGAGCCTGACTCTGTGAAGAGAGGGCCTGTGCAATGGAAAAACTAGCGCCCTGACACTTTCACGGCTAATATGTTACAAAAAAATACACACTGACCTGAAAGAAAACCAATTTCATGTCCTATCAGGTCTCATGGGAACAAAGTAAGATAGTGACTGCAGAATTAGAATTTGAACTAGTTCCCCTAGTTGACCACATTTGCTACTAAACTAGGTGATTCATTAATTTTGTAATTTTATTAGTCTGTCATACTGATGAATACGCAAATTTCAAGTATTATGAAACTGATGGATTTTTTTTTTTCTGGTTTGAAGACTGGAATGTTGGTGAAGTTAATTTTCCTCTTTGTCCCATACTAGTCACCTCCTCGGAAACAGAAGTTTAAACTTTTAAAAAAGTTGCCATTTATTTCCATGGGGGTCAGAATTAATCAGTCTTGACTGAATCAGTTATTCATGGTTGGATGCAACTCTTATTCTTATAGTTTTTGTTTATTTTCCAAACTGCAAATCTACAGTATTATTTTATATTGTTTAATTTTTCATCACTTTAATGAAAAACCAAAGGGTCAATAAAACTAAAGGGAAAACATCTAACAGATTTTTTTTGGTTTTGATTTGAGACATTCTTACCTACTGCAGTATCAATAACTAAACTATCCAAGTTAAGTGGACCGAGAACAGGCATGGCATGGCATGGCATGGCATGACATGGCATATTATGGCAGGGTGAGTTATGGCATGGATGTTACTATACCTGGGTATGGACAGCAGACGAGTCAGTAAGGTCGGTTGGCATCCTTTGGCCGCTTTAGCTGCACCTTCAGCCTCTTCATGCCTATCTGAAAACCGTTCATGGCCTGGATAGCGGCTTGAGCACTGGATGGGTTATCAAAACTCACAAAGCCTGAGACAAGAACACAGAACGGAAGAGAGATGGGGGTAGAGAAAAATGGGGGGGGAGAAAAAGGAATAACACATGAAGGGAGAAGAATGGGGAGAGATGAGAGAAACAGGAAGAAGAAAAAGGGAGAGGGAAACAGAAAGGGAGAAAAGACAGGCGAGATCAAAGAAAAAAGAGGGGAGAAGAAGACCCTTTTTAAATCTCAACAATGACACAACAATAGCTCTTTGTTTTCTCTTTTCAGCAGATTAAAATGAAAATCTTTGAATTAAAAAGATTACATAAAATACCACAAAGGCTAATAACACAGATATTAAAAATCAAAGGAAGATGAGCTATTAGAAACCGTGTGTTTAAACTTGAACAGAGCACAAAAAAAAAAAAAAAAACATGAAAAGGTGTTCAAAGATTAGAGAGGAAAAGGGAATCTCATGTTGTGTGTGGACATTTTTTAACAAAGCGATTGTCTTTCAATGTTACCTGAGTGTTTGAGTCACACAAGAGTGGCAGGGCTCTGGGTGTGTATTTCCATGTACGTGTGTGACTGAGCGTGTATCTGAGTAAAGAGTAAAGGGCATGGGGGTCGTGACGAGATGCTAGGAGCAAGGTGTGTAGGACGGAGGTGCCTGCTGCTCTGAGTTATCACCTGGGTGTCGAGGCGGAATGAGCCTACAGCTTTCCACACCGGGACTCCTTGCCTGCTCTTATCAGACACCTCTGTGATTGACGGCCCGAATTTTCCGCCTGCCAGCTGATTTGATCACACCGCTATGGGTCCAATTTAATTTGGGGGGAGAGGGCAGGCTTTTGTCAGTGCGGGTGAGATAAGGCTGCTGCTTTTACAAACCCTTTAAACAAACTGAGCAGGGAAGGGCCTGTCAGTTGGCAGTGATCCCCCTCCCAATCCCACAAACACACACACACACACACACACACACACACACACACTATCTCTGCCTTTAATGAATCTCCATACCTCACATTTACATCCACATGCCAAAAAGGTGATAGGATGCTAGGGGTCAAAGTACAGGGAAAAAAAGAGGACAAAGACTATGCTGCAAACTATTAAGTGCTTGAATCCGTGTACATTAAAACAATTGAAAAGCAGAATAAGATATTTGAACGTGTTTCCAGTTTTATCTGTTTTCTCGAGACAGAAGTAACTGGCTGATGTTTCATATCTTTGATGTAGCAGTGAGTGTGTGGTGCCGTGCAACTCAATACTCTCTGCTACTAGTGTTTGAGGTATGGCTCTCACCGCAGCCATCCATATCAGCAGAATGTCTGTACACATTGTAATGTTATGCATTTTTAATAAAAACACACACAAAGTTGCAAACGTTATTGGGTGACAGTGGGGAAAATGCAAGTGGAGGACCAGGTTGAGCAGCTGAGAATGCAGTACAATACTCACATTGCGCAAAAAAAAAAGTTTAAAATCATGTCTCCTGCTTTGCTATAACTACCATTTAACTCCCTTTAAATAATTTGTTGAACTGCTTAGTAGCAACACAAAATGTAAAGTTTTAATACATTCATATTAATACATTTATTGTTATGATTATATAAGTGTTGACTGGAGTTTTTTTTGTTGAAACAATATGGCTTTACATTGGCTGTTAAAAACTATTTTAAAGTGTTAAATTAACTGAGGACGGTGAATCTGTGCAGAGTCAATATATGAGGGTGCTGCTGAAACAAACATGCACAGGCAACATTTCCCCGACCTGTAAGTGGGAAAAGAACAAAACAAGCAAAGCAACAAAAATAGAAACAACAGCAGAAAAAAGTGTATGATTTCAGAAGCCCTTCAAGTAAATTGCATCTCTTTGTGTATACTTTTTCTATCGTATCTAAAAAGCAGCGGGCTTCCTTTTATAGCTATATATGCGTGTGTGTGTGTGTGTGTGTATGTGTGTATGTGTCATTCCATTCTCAGAAGACCTTTTGTAATTCATTTTCAAGCTAAATCCAGCTAATTCCACTTAACAAGGTAAGCTTTGATCACTTTTAAAAGTCAATATTAGCGACTAAATGCAGAGGATTAAGACTAATGTTGTGTCCCAGGTTAAATTAAACACAACCATATAGCTCCTCAGCAGTGAATGTCTATGGGGTGTACACATTTGCCTTATGGATATTCAATATGTTCCAGTGACTCAATAAGGCATTACTAACTAATAACACACGCTATGTTAATACTTGTGTCCTCTGTGCTTTCTTGTCATTTTCATTTTTTAAATTGCTTTGAAGTGAAATATTTAATAATTCTCTTAGACTTCCCCTCACCTGCATGGGTGTTTAATATCACATTGTGTCACATATTCATATCTATTTTATCACAGTGCAAATAAATATACTAAATGGAAGTGACACCTGTCTGAACTGACAGTGATGCATCTCTTAAGAGTATGCCCCAAATCCTACTCCAGAAATACATCCTTTATAAGAACATACTTCGAGTGCTCCTCCAGTGACCTTATCATCATATTCAAATCTCAATCAAGCTTCTTTGTAAACACTCTCTGACACTGTCTGATTATCTCCTCTCAAAATCCCAAAATGTAGTTCGCCTGTGCTGCAGAGATATCAGGACATGTACGCATGGATGTTTCTGTTGAAATACACAAGAATCATTCTGCTGTGGCCAGCAATTTGAAAGAAGTATTTCATTTAAAATGTTTAATAATATTAATGAAATACCTGACATAATGTAGTATGTAAGACACTCTAATATGCTGCTTTTTAAAATATAGTGGATAAGTTAACTTTCATACAAACAAACAACAATTTTTAGAGAGTGTAAGCTGTTTCGATGTTTTTTTTTTTAAGAAAATAAAATAAAAAGTGGTGTTGTGCTGTTCGAAGGACAGTGGGAAAATTAAAATCTCAGTTAACTAAATGCTGAAATACAGAATGGACTGTTGGCATATTATAGATATGAATAATTCACTTGTCTTACTGTTTATTTGTTTTGTCTTGTTTAAATACACACTGCAGTGCTTTGGAAATAATATTCTTCAACTAACAGTAAGGTCACTGACTTCATGTTCGTTTGTATAAAATGCTGCTTATTAGGTATTCATCATTGCAGTGCTTTACTGTAGATATTGGGAACATTTAGTATAGTGTGCAAGGCCAAATTTGTACATTTCTTACAATGAACAATTCCTTAGTCCATCTATCTATACATTTTTCGACATCTGTATAGAGATATGCATACAGTATATTTATACGTCTGTAAGTCTACAATTCCCATTAACCACATCATCAAGCCTAAACTCACACATTTTTAAGATGAAGCGTTCCAAGTTCTTGGAGGCCTAATAACTTATCCCCCTTAATGCACAGCATCTTCTGCCTAATTTGTTAATGTCTTACAAAGGAGCCCTGGGGCCTCGGCTATAAAAAGGAGGGAGAAATGAGTAAAAAAAAAAAACCACAAAAGAATCATGGGTTAAATTGCTGTTTTTCAGCCAAGATCTTAATTACTAGCCTTGAAAAATAAGCCGGTGAGACTGATGAGGTCACCGCCCCTTTGTCCTTCCCCCTTGTTGACTGACGGATAGTGATAGCGAGAGGCATATGTTTAGAGGAGAACACACAAAGGGGAGGGGAGAGAGAGAGAGAGAGAGAGAGAGAGAGAGAGAGAGAGAGAGAGAGAGCCCTGAGATGGACAGAGTGAGACAGACGAGGGAAGAGAGGAAGCGAAAGCCTCATAGACATGCCATGTTGAAGAGAAACTGAAAGAAAGCCAATGCTGGGAGTCTCACTCTCTGCCTCCCTGTCTCCTGGGTGCTGCTGTCCAACTGAATCAACAGCAAGGCCCACACCAGTCTATTATTATCTCTTTAAGCCCATGGATTCCACCTGCACCGCCTCCACCCTGATGAACTGGTTTGCTGTGTGGGAGGCGAGAGAAAAATAGGGGAGGGGTGGCGGGATGTTGCCCGACTGGGGTTTTGGGGGGGGGTTCTCTTGGGTAAAGGAAGCTGGGAATGGCAGAGAAGGTGAGATGGATACTGACTGTATTAGGAATGGTGTTATAGAGAGTGTGATGAATAGATCTGTGGCGCAAATGGCAATTGTGGAAAGAATTTTGGGTCCTAACATAGTATAAGCTATATGAGGGATTTATGGTGGTGTGATTTTTGGCGATTAGAACGTCCACCTTCTTAAAACCCCCGCCCCCATTTTTGACTCACCAAAACATTTGCTCTGATTGGTCGCTCGGTCCACAAAGACTTTGGCAGAGATGACGTTGCCAAAAGGCAGGAACATTTGCATGAGCTCCGCATCTCCGAACTCCTGGGGCAGGTGATAAATAAACAGGTTGCAACCTTCTGGCCCTGGTGATGAGAGAAAGACAACAGGAGGGTTACATGGTAGCGTAAACAGGGGATGCCCAGTGAGAGACAGACTGGCCATAATAACATGGGTGGAAAATTGACTCAATAAAGCAATCAAGATAATAATACAAGGAATGCAGGAGCCTTGTAAACACTAGAATCTGATTGTGTCATCTGTGGCACTAATATTAATTGTGTAAAACCTAAACCTATTGTGGCATGTGTGGAATCGCACGTTAAAATAATTTCTCAAATGTTATAGGTTTGCCCTTTTTGCTGTTCCCATTTGAATCCTCCCAAGAACCCAATTTCACGTAATAAGTGTATAGATAGGTGGCACTTTACTGAATCATATTATACAGTTAAATTTGACTGTTGTCTCAGAAAATGTGCTGGCAATAGTAGTGCGCATTTAAACAGCCACACAGAAGCAGAGATAAAAGCAAAGACAACAGGGGGAAGGAAAACACAGAGAGGTTGATTGAAAGAGAAAGATTAAGAGGGTTATATTGAGAAAGAGAAACTCTGAGACAGAGGAAGAGAGAGCGCGGAGAGGAGGAGGCAGAGCATAAGCCAAGTTTTTGTCCCAATTACTGTGTGACAGTAGGACTGTCTTGCAATCTCTCTCCATCCCTCCACACTCATTCACCCAGCTGCCACATATTGTACAGGCCAATCGGGATAAAGAGAGGAGTGAACTGGAGAGAGAGAGAGAGAGAGAGAGAGAGAGAGGTGATGGACTCAGGGACAGTATGCTTGCAGCTGGCTGCCTGGCTAGCATTCTCTCCTGTCTCATTGCTCTGGGTGATAGCATGACGAGATGAGACTGGGGCTGCTGAGAAGGCTGATAAGAGGGCTGCAGTGGTGGCTGGCTGTAGTGGTGCTATCCCTTGGTGAGATAGAGAAGACACACACACACACACACACACACACACACACACACACACACACACACACAGGTTGACAGAGTGTGGATTTTTTGTTAAAAGCTGAATCCCAGTTCTATCTGTTTAGGTTTAGGTGTCTTAGAGAATTCATGAAACACATTCATGCAACCGGTGTGTGTAAAGACGTTTGATATGTTAGGTTTGCAGCAAACCTGTTTGCTACAAAACACCACTTGTTTTTGTTGATTGCATGAACACTTCATTTTTGCCTTTTCCAAATATGCAAGTCTGTCAGTTCAGCTGTTGGAGGAAAGGTGATTTTTTTTTTTGAACAACTGTGACCAGTTACTGTGTGACTGGATAAAAGCATGAGCATAGAATCATACAGACAAATATCTTATAGACTGCTTGCACTTTCCCCCAACAAAATACTGTTACATATTCAGGGTTTTTCCAACCACAATCTGATGAATCCTTTTTTTAATATATCTTTTTAATTATAGTTGTTATTTTGATAGGAAAATGCAATTGATGTCCTAGGTACAGAGCATGGTAGATCTTAGAACCGAAAAGTGACAGTGGTTTTGTGTTATATATTGACAAGGAAGTCAAAGAGTTGCAGTGTTGCAACGACGACTCTTAACTGACGTCATCTGTTACAAAAATGCCACTAAAAGAAAATCTTTTTGACTTAAATTGTATATCTAATATTTTGTCCAGAGGGAGAAAGTGCTAAGATTCAAAGTGCAAAACGATGACATGTTGACAACTTGATTTGCCTGCATTATTCATACCAGACACTTGGCTGTATGACTTGTACATATACAGCTTAGGATGAGAAGTCATTTGGTATGATTCTCATATGCAGAATTTATTATTATTTATCTTTGAAAAGGAAACTCTGATTTTACACATCAAAGTGTGTTTACAGGTCTTGGAGAGTACTGCTGCATATGTGAGTAAAGTTTTATAAAGCATGTTGTGGCTCCAAAGGGAGCTGTGTGACAGAAATTGCCTCAAGTGATGTCACTTGCCGAATGGGGCTGAAGACTACAAATTTGAAAATTGGAAATATCTTGGTGTGTGGAGTTAGACAGAAGTGAGCTTACCAGACTTGCTGTGTGGGAATGTAGGCACCAGATTTTGACAATGAAGAAGAATGTGTGAAATAAAAAAAGACAATATCCCTGGTTCTGCTACACCTAAGACCACCCTGTTTGTTCACCCACTCCCGCACCAGAGATCACATCACCCCTGTCCTTCAAAACCACCACTGGCTCCCGTTCAACAAAGAATCCAGTTAGAAATTCTTGTCATCACTTACAAAGGCCTCAACAGTCTTCCCCCCTCCTACCTCAACGACCTCCTGCACAGATATACTCCTACCTGCAACCTCAGATCTACGGACTCCAACCTCCTCACCCCCTCACCCGCTCTAAGCATGAGACCTGGGGGGACAAGGCCTTCTCCGTTGCTTTCACCCTCCCTTCCTTCCTTTTTATTGCTCCAGTTGTTTTCTTTTTGTTTTGTTTCGTGCTGTTTTCTTTTTTTTTTGTCTTTTTATACTAATATCGCCTTTGCTGTTTCTGTTATTTTTCTTTTGTCATCATGTAAAGTGTCTTTGAGTACCTTTTAAAGCTATATAAAATATATTGTCATTATTGTTATTATTATCATTAATGATTCTGCTTATGCAATTACTATGATGCATTTTACCTAGTTAGTTTGCAGCTTTGATTAAAAGTTGAGACATTTTTAGTTTATCCATAAGCAGTTGTTGTGCAGTGTTTTTACCGATACGAGTCGGTAATCAGTTTTAATGTGATGCGGACCCCTGGATCGATCTAAATGTACCATGAACTGGTCAATGGTCCGATTCTAAAGTTTTGAGTCGTGGACTGAAGCTTTGCTGTTAATAGGTTTACAATTGATGTATACTCTATCGTGACATCACCCATTGGTTTGTGGGGTACCGTTTTGAAGCCTTGAGTTTGTCATTATAGTTGTCAGAGCGAGTTGAGCTGCGCACATTGGCTGCGCAGTTTGGACCCTAGCAGGAAACAATGGTGGCTCGCCTGGTCACACATGTTCTTGTATTACAGATAAACAGTACACCTAAATATGTTTCTGAAACAATTTTTTGGTAAGAAATAGGCAACACAGTTTTGTGTTTCCTGTGGGACGTTAGAACATACTCTCTGAGAATGGCGTGGCCACCTTGTCACTCATAAGGTAGCATACCCATCTTTATCATCTATTTTACTCTAAATTGGACCATAATGTACAAAATTAGCATTGTGTTGCATGGAAGAAGACTGGAAAGACAGATTGTCCCTAAGAGACGTCCTGATCACACCTATGAAGGCGTTGAGGATTCTGTGGATGTTTCATATTAAAATGCATTGTCCCTAAATCGTATCATAGCCCATGTATCTCGATACATAGCAGATCATCTCAGAAGGGAGAGATGCACACCCCTAGTATTGATATGTAACATGTAGCTGTGCTACCTAAGATGCTCCACTGAAGTGAAAAAGACACATTTTCAGAGAAAAGAGAGTACAGTGAATACTTATCTGGTTAAAATTATACTTTTGGATTTGTGGGGATTTTCTTTGTTGACTCTCTCTTTCTCTCTCTCTCACACACACACACACACACACACACACACACACACACACAGAAAGACTGAGAGAATGTATTGTTGAAATTGCTAGCTTTCAGAAGGAGGTTGAAGCTGAGACTTCACTGTGCCTGGTAGTCAGGTATAGGTGTCTCTTGTTAAATGGCAGGGCTGCAGACTGTGGCAGTGGACTGAGACAGGCTGGGAAAGCAGCCAAAACCCAGAGGAGGCCAGAACTCAGACAGGCCACTGGCTCAACCAAGAATAGCTTCTGTGTGTGTGTGTGTGTGTGTGTGTGTGTGTGTGTGTGTGTGTGTGTGTGTGTGTGTGTGTGTGTGTGTGTGTGTGTGTGTGTGTGTGTGTGTGTGTGTGTGTGTGTGGCTGTGTCTGAGTGTGTATGCATTACCGTCATGCATTACATGACTTTTATGATTCTCGCTAATGATTAAAATGTTCCAAGGTAGAAGTGAGAGATGGGAACAACTGCATGTTTTTTTCTATGGTGTGAAATTATGCCGGCATGTAAAGCGAGCATGTAAGATAAGGATAAGTTTTTGTCTATCTGTACTTTATCCAAACAGTTCTGTGCTGTGACCCTGTCATGCACTCACACTACTGAAAAAATGCAAACATAAACTAACTTTTCCTCTAGGCAATGTTTGAAACACTCAATTTCAGAGTTCCTATATTGAATATTCATGCCACTCTACGCTGTCTCATACAATCATATAGATGAATAATTGAGACTGACGAATGGCGTCAAAAAGAGTGATTTACCATCATAGTATATCCTATGCTTTATTACATCTGATGCTGTGGCATAAGAACGAACACTACACTAGGAATGGTAATAAATGATTATGCATGCAGCTAATTAATCTGATGAATATTTATAACCACTTAAACACATTGTAATGGACTGATTAAGCAGTCCAACGCTGCGAGTTTGAATTAGTGCAGTTTTTGAATAATGACAGAGTAACTTTCCATCTCACTGCTAATGTTCTTCTCTTTAAATGGGGAGCCTTTTTCTCACATTTTCCCCAGCCAGCTTTTTCCCTCCCTCGCTAATTCAAAGCAGTGCAGCTACATTAGAATGGAACATGGCAATTATCACCTTTTATCTTGGGTGGGCGCGCTTGCTCGCTCTTACCTTCCCTCTGTTGCTGGGGAATGATGGTTGGTTGCTGGGGGAACGCTTGGCTGATTGGCGCATAGGCGGCAGGGTAGGCTGCTGTTGCAAAGGGAGAACCAGAATGGAATTTTTCACATCTCCATTTTCATATTTGACACAACAAAAGTCAAATCATTATTCCATTGTTCATTTGTGTCCTCTAGACATTGCATAAATAAATTGCATTATGACTTGGAGCCTGGGCTCATTTGGCTGTGGATCACTACTCAAAGAGTATGGCAAAAGGGGAGTGGAGTGCGGTTCAACTGAGCAGAAACACAAAGGGTGGGAGTCTTACACCATGTTAATAAGAGCTGATGTCAGGCAGAAAGCAGTGGTTATGAGAGGTCTATGTCATCTCACTTGTAGGAGGCTATGGCAGGTTCAGATCCACAGCTCTCAGTGTACTTTTGGAATTAAGATTTTTTTGTGTGTGGGTGTGTAATCAAGTCAACGGAAAATCCTTTTGCAATCCTAATGTAAAGTAGCCTAATCCGGGAGGAAATTGGCTGGTCCGGCTATCTCTACCTGTCATAGTGTCTACTGATGTGACACACAGAAAGGGAGAGGGGAGGGAAAGGGACAGATGGAGGAAGTGAGGGAGTAGAGGAGATAGGAGAGACGGATCACCTGCGTAGTGTTGGACGCCAGCATAAGCCTGTTGGAGAGGGTCGGCCACTGTTGGACTCTGTGCTGCAAAGAGACGAAAAGAGAGACAGAGAGAGGGGGGTGACAAAGAGGAAAATGAAAGCAAAAGAGACAAAGAGGACGGAGAATGGTCAAGACAGACACAGAGACAAAGAGAGAGATAGAGAGAATGTTAAAGAGCGAGACAGAAATTGGCTTAGCTGTAGAGAACCATCAGGGGGTAAGATCACACAGGGAGTGGGAGAAATTTGGGTTGTCATATCTCAGTTCTTCAAAATGCCTGTTCGCCCCAGATGTTTGCATCAAATATTAACAACATGCCAAACAAACCACTTTGTAGTTCATTACAATTGCAGCTGCCTTTGCATAATGCACAAATGGGGAGTGTGTGTCTGTCAATTCTTCAGGAATCAGTCCCAGACAACATTAAGAAGCTGAGGACAGGCTGAGGCACATCAAATTAACCATAATGGACTGATGGATGAACTGATGGATTCATCATGATACTAGGGCTGGCTGCTCAGAAATCTGCCAGAGACACAGTTGATTGACCCTCAAGCCTTAAACGCTTCAGTTCAGATCAGAAAAAGATGTAATGAGAGTGTGAAGTAAAAAAGACTCTTGTCAACTTTTAAACAGTACCTTGTGATATAATTCAACGTGTCACTGACATGTTGAACTTGCATTGTGGCAATTAGGTGATGGTCTTTTTTTGAGACTCAAGTGCAGGACTAAAATAATCAAACAGTCATAGATCACTATGAGTACAAGCAGCTGATCGTAAGTGTCAGGGTCAGAGCAACAGTCAGTAGATGTTACAAATATATCTCATGTTTCTTTTGTGTATACCCTGATTGACTCACCTGGGTAAGGGTGAATACCATTGGTGTAGATGGGCTCAGAGGTGGGCTGCCCATTGCTTTGAGGCGGGAGGGCACTGAATCCGTTGACCCCGATAGGAGCGGCTATGCTGGGCACGGCTGTGGCAGAGATGCCCGGGGGTGTGCTGGTGCCTGCAAATAGATACAGAGCCATTATGGAAACATCAGGGTATATTTAGGTACTTTTTCACAAATGTACTACTATATAACAAGCACATAGTGGGCCCTCATGAGCACAAATGTGTACCCTTTGACCCACCAGTGTAGTTTGGTACAAATTGGTACCAATTCAGGTTGAACTAAAGGTACAGTTACAGTAATCAGTCAAAGTACCACACTGATTTAGCTGTAGGGATGGCACAGGGGAAAACACACTCATTCACCACTGTAATAGAAAACGATAAAAGTACTACACTGATTTTCTGATTTTGTACCTTTTTTAAAGGTTTGTGCATGGGGTACATAACTGCACTTTTGAAGGTACAAAAGCCAAAAGTTTGCCTTACAAGCTTACAACCATGATGTACAGTAAATCGGATGCAGGGACCTGTGTCTCTTCTTCTAACCACCTTTCCTCCTTGTGGTGATATTCCAACTCTGTCACCTTGTCAGTGCCCTTTTGTGCTGATGGATTTTTATTATTTTTCTAATCCAGGTGAAGGACATTTAAGTCATGTAGGATTATGTTTGATAGGTATTACCTGGTATATGTAGGACTTGTGGATTACAAATGCCAGGTACAGCGTCAAGCCACTTTATTTAATACATTTGCAATGACCCTGCCTTCAGGCGGCCTGCCTACTTAGTGTCGAGCCATCAAAGCTCCTCATGACAAGGGCCAAAAAGATAGTTCAGACTGGGGTCCAGGATTATCTCACACAAATCTTTGCTCTTATATTGTATAAGCCAAGGACTCTGCATCCAAAGTCATCGGATTGGCTGTGTTCCCAGAAAACACACACTGTCACAGAGACACAGAGGGAGATAGCAACAGACAGAGAGAGAGAGCGAGATAATGAGAGAGAGGAGGAGAGAGAGAGACTATAATGTGGTTGCCAATGAGTGTCAAGGAATGCTGTACATCTTCTCCAACCATGCCTCACTCAATATAAGGCTCTGCTTCTGACAATTCAACACTGGCAATGTCTGCTTCTTCTGAAAATGAAACCTACATCTTAACAAATGTAACAAGGGCAAAAGCAGGAAGGCCTAGAATGAATATATTACTACTGCTTCTATAATTCTTGCTAATGATGAAAATGTTCCAGGACAGCTGTGAAAAATGGACAGTGTGTTTGCATGTGCCTCTGCTCTTGCACCTGTGCCAGTTAGTGCGTGCATGTGTGTGCCTATTAGTGTATACCTGAGGACGGTGTCATGGGAGTAGCCACCAGGCCATTGACATTGAAAGCTGCCATTTGCTGCATTTGCGCGGCAGCGATGGCTGCCATGGGGTTCAGGTAGGACCCTTGTGTTGCTGCCATCAGGGCTGCTTGCTGTTGCATCATCTGCTGTTGGATTAAAGAGCAGTGGGTAGAGAGGCGATGGCGGGAGGGATGGAGGGAAGGACAGAAAAGGAAAGGAGGGTGAAATAGCCGCAGGACCAGAGCATGTTTACTCTCACATCTCTGTTTGCTTGGCTCATGCCTTGTTCTTGAACAGAGTGGTCTGTGTTGCCCTGCAGCGTTGCTTCCCAGCTACTGTAACACTGCTCTGGCCGTGTGCTCATTATACTGACACATTATAAAGGCTATGCGGTGAGATGACTTTTGCAAGTTGGAGACTATGTATACGTACTGTATATGTATATGTGTGAAAGAGAAATGGGGCTGCGGTGGCAGAGTTAGTGGAGAGATTGTGCGTGAGTGGGCGATTCTCACCTGTCAGGGTGAGTTGTTAGCTACTGTGTGAGTGCAAAATCTCATAGACTCTAACCCAGACTGTGACTTTCATGTGTGAATATGGGTAGGGGGTGAGTGGGTATAGGTTCTTGGTAATGACGTGTGCTTCTATTTAAGTGCAAAGGCATATGTGTAAGTAGAAGAAATGTTAAAGAGTCAAGCTTGGGTTGGCAGTTTAAATTCACAGACCAAATCAGGAAAAGTGGGAATGGAAAGTGAGTATGAAGTGGATGCTTACAACTGTATGAAAGTAAAACAGTGTAGTGCTGAGCATACATGATAAGCAGCTTCCCTGGACAAATTAAGGAATAGACACAATATGAAAAAAAGCAGTGCAGCATTTTCTGTAAAGCCTCTGTAAATTTGGGCTCAGCCGTTTAATAGCATGAATTACTTAAGGAGTTGTTCACCGGTAGAGTCACATGCCTAGTGGGAGAGAGTGAGTTCAAACCTTAAATCACAACAGTTTTTGTTTTCTTTTTTAAAGCTCACCGTCTCCTCCCCCGCCGGGCTGAGACTTACAGCATGAGAGTAGGCGCCATAGGCCCCAAACTGGATAGTCATGGGACTGAAGATGCCGAGCTGGCCCGCCATCTGGTGCATTCTGCGCAGGGTCCTTTCCTTATCAGTGTCTGCAAACTTGACCACCAGACTGGACGAGGCACCCTAGAGGGACATGTATATTTACAAGGTTAGTAAAATATGGAACCAAACTTCCACATTTATACTTTAAACTTTTGTTTTTGATAGTTTTTCACATTCCATTTTTGATCCGTGTTCCTTTGGTGGAAACTTTGCAGTGTATTTTCATGCTTTTTAATGGCTGCCGGGAGATTAACAAAAGCAAATAAACATAAAACAAACATCTAAACACAAAATATCTAAATAGAAGCTGAAAAAGTACTTTGTGGCTGTCAGACTTTCAACAAAGTAGAACAACTCATAATGCCAACTTTTGCAACTACCATTACTTTCAATCAGCAGTGTTTTGCACATTGCACCTGCCACTTCAGCTGGCCAACCAGCTAATGTGTTAACCAAAGCTGTCTGTGAACATCCTTAGACTGAATAAATAGTTATTCACTGGGACAAACAACAAAGCTATAGCACATATTCTGTAACCACAGCAGTTTGGAATACTGATCTCATCGATACTGCTTTATTTTATTATCTATTTTTTATTTGTATATTTATTTAACAGAGACATTGCACAATACATGCATTGTGCCATCATGTAGGCCACTGATGCGCCGGTTACAAAGATAAGTAGGAGATGAAAACCTTATACACTCACTGACATTGTTATATTTACCTGATAAGTCTATTGCTCTAGTAAATATGTGATGCGTTTACTGGTGTGTAGTATGAACACTATCAATCTGACCATAACCTAAATATAGGCCATTTAGAAACAATGTTGCCAAAGCATGCATAGCATTTGCATCTTTTATTGTGTGGTTGAAAGTAGTTTTTTCCCAATGTGTGTGTTTCCATTAGGAAATTACCTACAACAAATTGTTGGCTCCATAATGAAAAAATGCAGAGATGGTCTGTATTTGCTGTCTACATCACCACAAAGGAGAAATAGTGTTCAGAATGTTGTTCATTTCTGTCATCTGATGTCCAGTTTACACAACATTATCAGCCTTCAAGAGCTAATATCTCTAAGCCAACGAGACCAGTGGAAGTGAATGTGCACCTCTCATGACTGCAGTCATTTAGCTGTCAGCGTTAAATGGAAGAGAATAGTGAGTGATATTTGCTTTTGTGAACTTTCCAACTGCACTGTATACACTGGGAGTGAACTGTGATCCTAACCAGATCCCACAGGAGTCCCAGTCCCCCACTGGTGAAGCTCCACTGAATACAGTACTGGGTAATTAGGTCTGACAAAAGCCTTCGGCATGTGGAGGGCGAAGTATTGACTAATGGCTCTGCCTTATGGCAGATATAGTTCCATATTGATGTCCGTGCTCCTGAGTTTGCATCCAATTAAATCATTTGAGAGACAGAGACCAGAGTCAGTTCCTCATGTGACATCCAGGCAAGGAGAGAGGGAGGAGTGTCTGTGTGTGAGTGAGAGACATAGAGATAGATATAGAGAGAGAGGATCAGGAGGCTGCCAGGCAGAGAAGACAGCCACAGACACTGTCAAGAGGACCAGGCTCCTATTTAATTACAGGCAGTGCATGCTGGGAAATAGCACGGAGAACCACCAGGACAGAAGGACACAGGCAGCCAGGGGGCAGTCAGGATATGATTAGTAAGATCATAAAAGCAAAGACATGGGGAGAAAAGGACTCCATAATCACAACTTGGATTCATCTTTCACAAAATGTCTTATCCTGACAGGGTCAGTACAAGTGAGGCTTTGATTTAGATTTCCATATTTTCTTTGGGTGTACAAATTGAAAATGTGTGTGAACTGCAGGGGACACAGTGGCAGAAAAAGATGAGGCTGGCCAGTGTCAGTGATGCTGCTCGTGTTTTTTCTGTACACAAGTTTATGTGACTCTGTATAAGAAATTGAAATTGACAATGCCAGACCAAGCTGCTCCACAGGTCCAAGTTAAAGCTTGAGAGCTACCTACAGGAGGCACATTACTAAAGCAGAGCTATCCAAACAGAAAATCTAAAAAATAAACAAACTTGGGTCCTGTGAAGCTGAGGATTGCTAAGAGTGTGAATTCTTACTGTTGTGCAGCCTTACTTCATGGTATTTCATAGAAATTCACAAAACGTGTGTCCTATTTTTGTAAGTGCTTCATGAAATTTTAAACAGGAACAGCTAAGTGATAGTGCCGTATAGTTTGCCAGGGTGGTCTCGTGCTATGTGGTTTGATTAGTCATGGCTGCCGCAGCAAACCTTACATAATATCTGTTCATATCCAAAATCTTTCTAAAAAATATTTTTCATTGTTTTTATTTACTTTATATTTTACCCTAACATCATTCACCACTTTCTTGTGCTTTATCCTCCCCCCAGCTACTGTTTTTGTTCTTATCTATTTAAAAAAAAAAAAAAAAATGCATTTTGTCAAGTTCTTTTTCAGCGGCTTTGCGGCTATTTGACTAACCCAGAGTGTCTTATAAACATTCTATTAACCCAACCAAGAGAGTGTGTTGGCTGTAGATAACTGTGAATAAGAGGATGGGGAATGGAGGAAGGCATGAGCATGGACCCCAGGGACAGTGTGTCTCAGATGGGATCCTATCAGAGCCAGCCAGCACCCCACCTCAGGCCAGAGGAGACCCATCTGGTGTTTCTCCCTCGATGCCATTTCAATTAGTTAAATCAATACTCCGACATGGCGCAGTTAACGGCACAGTTTTTTCCTCTCTAATTTCATTTCATCCCACCTCCTGACCTTTTTCAGTTCTTTCTCAACTTTTGTGGGCCTGTTGAAGGGACTGGGCTGTTGGATTTAATGAGGCTGGCACTGAGCAAACATCTTCCTCCAGCGCTGTTGCTCAAGCCTGCCCACAGCACGGGGGCCTGGCATTTAGATCACATTCATTTTCTGCTTTGTGTTTCTGTGTATTTTTACATTCATTTAATACCTCATGAAGAATGCATTGTGAGCATCAGGACTGTGAAAGCCTGAGGCTGCCTGTACCCACTGCACCATGACTCAAAACTCTGGCCTGGTCTGGTTTCTCCCAGCAGAGTGCTCTGCTGTAGACGACAACACGGGAGGAGACCCATTCTGCAGTGTCTACACTGAACAGACTTGGCAGCAGCACTAAAGGACTACAACAGCCTCTGCAGGTGTTGTCAGCACTGCCACTCATGTCAGAGCCTAGCATTTCTGACTTTCAAAGCATAAAAGCCCAAATATCCCCTCTAAAATAAAAAAATAGAATCTTCTCTTATCCTCACTCCTGAACAGGAGAATTTCATATCCTCACATTTCAAGCAGATGTATTCTGACTAGATCCAAGGCCTAAGCAGAGAAAGAAGATTTCAGAGTGTGATCCCCCTCTCGGATCAAGAGTTTCTATCCACATAAAGAAAGAGTAATATGTGGCTAGGTAATGAAGGAACAGGTGGCAGCAGACAACAGACACTGGATGCAAAGCAGCCACTCCTCACTGGTAGCAGAAAATCACAAGCTGACAAACAAACAGAATAATAACCTCTACCGGCATGACTCCTATACCTGGGGAGAAAATGAATTCGCTGAATTTGATAAGGGCCAACAGGGAGCCTTCACTTTTGACAGGTACAACTAAGGAATTTGTCACAGGTTCAAAAACTAATCTAATTTCTTGAACAACACACTTGACTTGTGAAAATCTCCCATATTGGATTTTGTATAGGCCACAAAATGTGTAGATGGAAAAATACACAACGGTAATTGAGGGATTAGAACTCAACTACACCGGTGAAATGGCATTATGCTTTTATCTCTGTATTACTGTGATACAAAGACACTGGTGTTAAGTGTGTAGCAACAGGTAAACAGACACTCATCTTCCAGCCTCTACAGAGGCTTACAACAATATAATATAACAACACACTCATCGAAGAGAAAACTGTCTTTTCAAAAAGCATATTAATGATTAACAACTAATATGCTAAGAACTTTATTTCTCCCCCATTCAGGAAAACTGTAACAGCTACCTTTAAATGACAAATGAAACTTCTAAAGTTGTCTAAGGTTATCTTCAGGCTTACAGACTCTAAAAGTGTTAATTGAGAATCTGTAAGAAATTAATTGAATACACCATAACAAGTTTGTTTGGTAATTGGATGAACCCCCTGTGGGCTTCGTATTCAACTCTCTGAACCTTGCTACATCTCTGCTAGCCTCATGGGAGGACTGTCTCTCATTAGCACTGGATGATGCTGTCTTGGTCTGGCCTTGCTGTCCACCACATACTGCTGCAGATGCAGAGCAACTACATCAAGCCAAAAGACACAGAAGAAGAAAACTGTCATTCATAACTGTATTTTCACCCGTGTATATTACAGTGTGTAAATAACAGTTTTCACTACATGAGGAGCGCAAAAACACAGAACTTCATGTAGTGTGTCAGCTACAAGCCTGCCGAGATTCTACAATAGTGTGGCGTTAGATGAATTGTGTGTTGCAGTGACAATGCTCTCTGGCTGGGTCTTATCTCTCATTAATCCAGAACTATAGTATCACACACATGCACACTCTTGTTCCTGCCAACACCGGCAAACTCCACAGACCCTGTCAGCCACGCTGTGACACCGAACATGACAATGTCTGCAATTTGCTGGGTGTTGTCTGCCTGCCCCCAGCTCTGCCATTTGAAGTTTTGCCACCTGTGCCTCTGCAGCCTTACTGTAATTCAACAACTGAACCAGTTAGAGTGCCTGTTCTGTGCCCAATCACCTTTTAAGTTAATTTTGGAACCACCTGCAATCTGCAATAAACATCAATTAAAGCTATGACCCGATCTATCAGCGCATGCCCTTCAGTGGCATCCCTTGCCCTTAAGCTTTATTAAAGCCTTTCATTTTGGGCCAGCGTATTTTGGTGCAGGTATTATTTATGGCATGTGTGTATGTGCCAGGTAACACAGATGCTGGAGAGAGAACATTAAGAGGGAGAGAGAGACAGAGAGAGAGTGAGAGACAACTCTTTGTTCAAGGTTCATCCAGACCTCACAGCTGGCAGCAAGCAGTGAGCAGAGCAGCCCACTCTCTGAATCCTGCCTCCTGTTAGTCTGTTGTTGACGACATGTGGCAGTGATATTATCCAAATTAACTGCATCCCCCATCGGTACCAAAGCCTTAGTTGGATACTAATGGCCACCTTGCCTATTAATCTGAGAGGAAGTTGGATTTGGGGAGAGGAGGATAACAGGTGCAGGGATAGAAGGGGAGAGATATGGATATTATAGATTATTAATGAACTTTTGGATGGCTCTTGATCCGCCCCAGGTCTGTTTGGGGCTCCATATGTTGCCTTGGACAGTTCATCTGCAGCAGACCTCAGGTGGCTCAGTGGCCCAACCTAATGCAACTGTGCCTGGGCTACAGCAAGACAAACATATGCACAAAGTGCACAAAAGTAGTCTGCATGAGCCAAATTTTGATCTGTACAAGGAGGCAAAAAAACTGCCCCAGAGGAGTCCAATTATGTAAATCTTCTGGATGTAAACATATTCTGTTGATTGAGTCAACAAGATATTTTGAGTAGAAGGTAAATATCTTGATTATAATCAAATTTCAGTAAGAGGTCTGTCATAATTGTGCATGATCAGTGTGCAACATGATTATACTTTGGCTCATGGCCCACTGCTTATTAAATTTTGACCCTTGTGGTTTACATGCCAAAAAGTTTGGTCTCTACTGAGCATAACAACCACACACAAAGTTAAACCGACTGTACCACTTATTTCCCTCCCTCACTACTTCAATGTAATGCAAAATGAGGCGGCATCAAAAAGATGTGTAAATTACATCTGGCTTCCAGGACACTATCTGGCTGCCAGGAAGCGTCCGTAAATATTTATTGCGGAACATCAGTGAAGTGTGTGAAGGTGCGGATGTCTGCCAGAGAGAGAGTGTACTCATGTGTGTGTCCAGCTGTGCAGTACTCGACACACACCCAGCACTGGCAGGGATGCTTCGTAATTCATCATTTCTTTAGCTTAAGCCGTTTGGTGGCCTTGTTCAAGCCCAACAGAAGCATATCCAATTCATAATTAACTGCAGCTTGACAAGAGTTACAGGTTTGGTGGCCTCATTCTTCGACTAAACAAATCAACACCAACTAATGCTATTTCATGCATCTCATAACTACTGTATATCAAACTAGACCAATGCACCATTATCTATGGTACTCTCCACAATTTCCTACAGCTAAACTGTATTCCACACCACTCAAAAGCACATTTAAATCTCTGTCTGTTGTGTAGTGCAGTGATTCCAACCTGTGGGTCAGAACCACACTAGGGGACACCAAAGCTACAGACAGAGAATTGTATAAAAAGTTCCTGAAACAATCAGAAAACTCACCTCTGATGTAATATTCACAGGAAATAATCTGATCAAAATTCATCCAAACTGCTCGTTTTACACAAACCCTCAGTTATTGTGTTAACTTTTTGTGTTCATTGTGTCAACATCAGTTGTTCTGTACAGTTAATATCCATAAAATATGTAACTTAGTCAGAGGTTGTCAGTTTACCCAATGATAGAAAAGGGGTCCCTTAAGGATAAAAGATGGGAAACACCAGTGTAGTGCAATACAGACCACTGACGATTGTGATTCACATGCAATACACCATTCTCTTTGAATGTGAGGTCTTGTCCTCTTATTATGTTTCCGCATGCTGTATGATTCCGTGTAAGGGTCAATATGTGTTGTCAGCAGTGCCATGACAACCAACACCTGTATGTGTGTTCTATATCTGTAAAATGTATGAAACGATTCTGATGCAATGTGATTTACAAATGGGCTGAGCAGCAATATAAGTCGTATTTATAGCTCAACATTATGCCACAACATATCTAGATAAATACCCCAGCCTTGGGTAGATGATACCCAGACTGTGAAGAATAAATGCAGAAAAGCTTAAAGTTAATGGGGGCTGATAAACTGCAAGTGTCCCACAATATTATGAAGGGCTTAATTTTGAAATATCAGGAAGCAGTTAAGGAAGCAAAAGTGGCTTATTAATCTGACCTCATTTTGAACATCCATCCTAACTCTAGGGTGCTTTTCAATATTATTGACTTACTTGTTAACCTCCCTTCTAGTCATTGTAATGAAGCCTCCCTTGATAAGTGTTTTCAAGTGTTTTAAATGTTTAATATTCTTTCACAAAAAGTACCCCCCTGACAAAGGCCAAACTGTCACTGTTAATAATTTGGCTGTGATTAGCTGTTTTTCAGTCATTCCTCTGTAGATCTATACAGCTTTCTCCTATGTTGCTGGAAGATGCTATGACTTGCATGAAACCCTTTACCTGTCCCCCTCCATAGTATAAAATATTCAGCAGCCTGTATGTTATCTCTATAGCACTCTGACCTTTGTTTAATGTTTTTGTGCAGTTAGTGTCAGAAAAGGTTTTTACCAGATTCTACTACTTCCTTAGAAACTATTTTCAACAGCCTTCATCCTTATGAAGTAGTGTAGTTTGACATAGACTGTATTCATCCATGGTTCTACTTGGATGTAGCAAAAGCAATGACGCATATTTATATTTAGGTGTACCAAATTGTAATACTACCTGTCTAGCCATTCTCATAAATTTCCTAAACAGCATATAAATGTCTGAAATAACCTTTTTTTGGCCTACTACCTCAATTAAATTGCTTCACCATGAAGATGACACACTGTCTCCCAATGTAAAGCCATTAATTTCACACTAATTTCAAATTTCAGGAACAGGTTAAGAGAGCTGTTCAAACTATTAACTTTTGATAGAGGACTATTTCCTCATGCAATGAGAAACATTTTAATCCATATGTAATCAGAAAATAGTCATCCATGCTTTAGTTTGCTCTGTATTAGAACCTTTCCTGCTCTTTTCTCCCACTCAAACAAAAGTGTCCTGATTTGCACTTTTACTCTGATTGGCTGTCATTATCAGAAGTTAATTTTAATCAATTGTTTAACGACACTTTTCCCCTTTAACTATCACCACAATAAACAAGTGTAAATTCAATGTCGAATGCCCAAACCACAACATTACAATTTAATAATGGGTAGTTATGCTTTTTGTGTTGTTTAATCATTGTGTAGCGAATAACATTGTAAATGAACCTAAGAATAAACTCACACCTACACTATCATTTTAGATTATGCTTGAGCTATATATGCATAGTTATTTATTTTTTATGCCCGTCATCCCACGACTTTAGTTTTAACTGTTATATATGTTTACATATATAGTATAATGTCTGCTGAGGACAAATTCAAGGATTCATGTGCCGTGCAACGTAATCATATCTTTATAAGACTGTGAATGTAAACTCTCTCTGTCTGCTGAAAAAGTAGTCTGAATAGCAGGAGAACGAAATGGATATTGAGTGAAAAGACAGATACAGAGTATGCAGCTGTGCACTGTAAGGTAGCGGATGCTGACAGTGTGAATTTTTTGTGTGTGATAACACACAGCTTGAATGTATGTGAGATTGTGGACTGTTGGATGTGCTTTGAAAAGAGTCACCGTGGTGACTCACAGCATACATATATGTATACACACACTCACACTGTATAGACTAGAGGCATACAGTACGTAAAGGTGAAAAAATAGATATAGATAATAGATATTCTTTCGTATGTATGTTTCTGTCGTAAATGTATGAGATTTTTTTCAGACACAAAAATACTTTTTAAATTTTAAAGGCATACACCCTCCAGTGGGCATGTGCATGTGAAAAAGAAAACTTTAAAGGAAGACTTGGTCTCTTGGCAAGGTAGAAAAACAGAATCAAAAATTCCATCAATCTTTGTTGTAAACTTTATCCCAGTCTACCTGAAACCTTTTATACAACTGGGACCACAAGGGGAAAAGGCATAAATAGACGACCAAGTGACATTACATCCCTTGCAAAACGTCTAAAACTGTCCACATTGAGTGTAAAAGCAATTCTTTGTAACTGTGTTAAAATAATGTTGACATTAAATGTAATTCTGTTGTTAGAACACTTATGAGTGTGCTTCAGAGTGTGTTACTTACAGGCATAGTCTGTCCACCATGTAAGCTGTTGATGGCGGCCTGCGCTTCTGCGTGGCTGGAGAACTTGACAAAGGCACAGCCTGTATACACAGAAAACAAGAAAAATAGAAGGGAGGGGAACAACGTCAGGGAGATGGCCTTGAATATTGGAAAAAAAACACAATTCATTACCATTGTTTTCATGTTATCTGGTTTGTAAATATATTCTGCCATTTGTGTGTTCAGCGCATAACTCTGAATAAATCAGTCTAATTGTAGTGAAGGCATTAGCTGCGTGGAACATCCTGTCCCTCGCCCATTTCTAATTCCACCCCCTCCACTTTTGAGCATGGAGCCAAGGCATTTACTATCCTGACTTGTTTGTGATTATTAATCTGTTTAATATTTACACATTGTGATTTGTGTGCAGTCACTCATAAAAGAGATTATGATGACAAAGGCATAGTATTATAATCTGCCTATCTAACCGAATCTTTGCTCGCATATAATTTCAGATGGAGGGGGGCTTTGCTCAAGGGGCATTCAAATCATCTTAAATCTGTTGTGTAGTTAATGCACAAAAGGAAAAGTCAACATAAAAAGTTGGCCTGAAGACAAGTGAACGGTTGTTGGCAGCAGTGTTCTGGAGTCTCATTGCATTAACATTTCAAATGATGTTAAAAATGATTTAAGTAGATAATAATAATGCACAATATGTTTTTTTGGAAAGTTACATATCTTAACCACATGATTAAATAGTACATCAGTGTGTAGGTAAGGATAGGCACAAAACTACTGAAAGATAAAAAGAAAGCTAGTGAACTGAAATACAGTGGAACTGAAATGTGGTAATTTTCCGAAAGCCATTAAATTAAACAGGAGCTATTTCTCTAAGCTTTATGGTCGTCATAGACTGCACAAGGTATTCTGTTATGTCCTATTCTTATCCTTGCCTTCAGGTAGCTCATGTGTTAAGTCAAGAGATACCTAATTAACAAACTCATGGATTAATTCTGCCCCTTTTCATTAATCGAGTAGCACCAGTGTTTTAGAACCAAGCAGGCTTTCCTGAGTTAAGTCCCCAGTTCCCCAAGAAATGCTGATACCTATTTAAAACGGTTACATATGTTCATATACATTTATTCACTCTACATTCTCAAAGGAGTCGTGATGATTCATTTGAATTACAAACACTGATTAGTAGGCTCAGGAGATGTTCTGTGTCTGGCAGCGACCCATTCACTCCTACATCTCTGGAGTCAGCTTTGCTTCCCAGACAAACAAATTAATAATTTCCTGACAAAATCAAAAAAGATTGAACTGAGGGACACGCAGTATATGCACAAGCAATGGATGACAATTTTCACCTTCACCTGAGGCTTTTCTATCCACTTTCCAGCTACACAATAAACAGTGAGCAGTGAGACTGCTGTGTGCAAAAATGTGGTGAGTAGTAAAGGCCATGTGTTTTCTGTACTGTCAAATGTCCTCAAAGCTGTATAGATCTACAGAGGCAAACAGATAAGTCAAAGAAGGCTTTGATTCTGTCACAGCACTCTAGCAGCCTTTTACTTCACTTGAACGCCCCTCCGGGTGGAAGCAGGAAAGGTCTTCATTTGTCCAACTGAAATGCATCAGCCTACTGTGTGCCATTTGACTGCAACTCTGTCTTTGAAGGAATAAACACATTTAACCTTTGCAGTTGAAATAATAAGGGGGCAGTTTGTTCTTGCAAAAGCCTTTTGGTTTTGTAAGGCAACATAACTTGTTGTTTCCCTAACAAGGCTGTCAGATATTGTGCCAGAATCCCAGTGACCCCAGCAGCTCAGTGCAACCAGAAAGACACTCAAAACTGCAGGGTTTGGCGTACAACGTCAGTGGCAAAGTCAAGTCAAACATACAATGTCCTCAAATTTCTCCACCCAAAAATCAATGCTGAGCCTTGCTTTTCCTGACCTAGAAAAAAAGTTAAGGGACACAGAGCACAACATCTCAAAAGAATTGGAAGTGCTACAGCCTCATAAATTATAGTGCACATTTGAGTTTTTGAATTTGATGGCTCAGAATGAGTTGGGGAAAAAGGAAAAAGAGAGATTGTATTGCTTTCAAGCCAGAGGATCTGCACTGCCTTTTGAATTCCCGGGGTAATAATATGTATGCATGAATTCCATCCCGCTGGATGGGTGACATTTATAACACAACTTAATTATAGACCTAAAAGCCATCTCTCTATTTTTCCTGACAATTCGAGGCTCTATTCAACTCTGGCAGCAAGTGTTGCACTTTGAAAGTACTTTGAGGAGCAGTGCCATAGAGAGATGGATGTTAAACTTCTCGGCCTTTTTATTGGGTGAAGAGGGGTGCTGAAAAGCTTCTGAGTAGCATAAATTTACATCAACAGGGGACAAAGCCTCCATCATGGAACAGATAGCACTGTCAATTTCAAGGTCTGTCTCATTCAAATTACGCGAACCTCATCCCAAGCGAGGCGACTGGCAAAATAATTTGCCGTAACATCCCGTAATGATTGCGTGGGACTGTTGCACTGTGAGTGATAGGACCAGATACCTGTATATGAAACCTTTGTCTGGTGGTAGCATTCATAGTTAACATTGCTCTACATTCTTCTATTTCATAGCAGTGAAAGAAAAGGTGATGATCAAGCCAGTGATAATAGAGACAAATACCAACACAGGAAGCGTATGGCATGTGGAAAGAGGAGAAAGAAAAAGAGATGAGATGTGGGGTGCAGGAGGGTGAAAAGGAGTGAAAGCGCGAATGAGGGAGAAAACTAGCTCCTGTCTGACACAACAGCACAGGCCTTATTTCATTTTATATGCTGTCAATCAGCTTGAGGCATCTGAGCAGACAGGAAGAGAGGGAGTCGGACAGGGAGGGAGAGGATGCGAAAGAGGAAACAAGCCAGGGAGAAAGAAAGGTAGTGGGCCGGTGGGGCGACGCAGAGCAATAGACCTGGGATTAACAGTGAGAGGAACAGATGTTGACACAGATAGGTGTGTGGTTCAGTATAGCCAGCCTTTCTCTTTGATATACTCAGAAGGCTCCCACATTATCAACCCTTCTCCCTTGCCTTTCCACACATCCTTTTCACACATTCAGATGCTTCGTATAGGAGAATAAATCACAGTCAACAGAGAAAAAGGAAGGTAGAGGTTCCGAGCAATATCATTGGCATTATCGCTCAAAATATGGCTGTGAGACAGAGATCCATCAAAAGATGATGGGGGAGCCTCCCGCACTCTCAGAACAATCCCACCTGCATTGCACATTTCACAGCCATCTTTAATTTGACCACGCTCTACTAACTAAATAGCACATAAGCCACAGACATGAATGCATAAGCTGTTCCTGAATGCAGGCAAATCTGCCGCAGAGTGAGTGACAGCAGCAAAACCCAGAGCCTGGCTGCTTTATTTACAGTAGGACATTATCGTCCAATGGTGTCTCTGGGGAGGGATGACGGGAATGTGGGAAACAAACATGATTACACCCCTCCGCTTTTCAGATAACAGGAAGAGGAGGAGGAGGAGAGGGGTGAGCAGAAAGAAGAGGTGTTGTGTGATGGATCTGTTGAGTACAAGCCTAGTGTGAGAGGAGCTGCCGTGATGAAGAGACAACATAAGAAGAAGTTCGGGAGGGAAAGAAAAAAGGAGAGAGGAAAGAGAGGTAGAGTGAGAACAAAAAAGGGAAATACAGAAAGTAGTGTGAAAAGGAAAGTGGGAGGAAGGAAGTGTTGGAGCACAGTGACAATGAGGTATGAAAGAAACGCGAGCAAGATACATAAGAGGTGGGGAAAAACAAAATAGCTGAAGGGGAGGATGAGTTATTCAGAAGAGCAGAGTGGATCGCAGACAACGTCAATGAGTGTGCAGTGGGTAAAGCATGGTTCTAAAAATGTGATGAGTAGAAAGAGAGACACGTACAGACAGACAGAGGGATTAAGAGGGACAGACAGGGAAAAAAAGAGTGGGAGGTGTGTGGGCTCTGACCCTTACTGGCCCCATCAGGCCCTCGCAGGACGGTGCACTCCTCGATCTGGCCGAAGGTCTCGAACAGCCTCCGGACGTCGTCCTCACTCTGCTGCTTGCCGAGCATTCCCACAAACAGCTTCCTGTCTTCTGGATAGGAAGAGAGGAAGGGGGAGGAAGAAGGGGGAGGAAGGAGGGAGGGTGGAAGAGGGAAGAGAACAGACAAATGCTACAGCTGATGGCACCGTTCTGCTGAGCTGAGAGGAACTTGTGCAACTCAACACCCCCCCCTCCCCTTTTTATCAGCAGTCTGCTGTGTTGAGCCTACGCTGCTGCTGCTGCTGCTGCTGTTGTTGTTGTTGTTGTTGTTATTGTTGTTGATCTTTCTGCTGTGTGGTGTGCCACCCCACCCTTGTATGAGGGAGATGTATTCCTGTTTCCAGTGAACTATTCAAGTCTGCCACAGTGATGTTTGATAGAGATGATGTTTGGAGCGCTGTGGGTTTCAGGTAAAGGTAGAAAGAGAGCGCGAATATTTTGCACAGGTAGACAAACTGTTAGATCGTCTGGATGCTTAAGTCACTGAGATGAAAGAGAACATGGAACAAGAACATGGTACTACATTCTCTCATCACCAAAGGAGTAAGAATTATAATAAGCAAGAGTAAACTCTGCAGCACATTCTATCCACTGATAAACAGTGTCCTAGCTAGTTATTATAGTTATCATAGTCCTAGATATTAAAGTCTGTACTTTGTCATCCCCTCCACTTTTGGTTGACTATTGCATGGAGACAAAATTTAAGGCAGTCATACTTGTACAGTATGAATGCCTATAGAAAAATTTAAGTCAGGAAACAAATACTAGAAAATGAGCCAAGTAGAAAAAAAAAAAAAAATGAACATGATTCTGCGCATTGCCCAGTGTTGGCTGCCCAGAAATAACTGACGAAGATTCTCAGTGTAAAATTGTTTGTGGGTAATTATCAGCCAAAGGTTTGCAGATTTGTCATTTTTCAACTCCCAACAGTTGCAAACAAATAATAAACTAAAATGAGACTCGATTCATATAGTGCAATTCAGAGAAAGAATGTGTTTTCCCACTATTTTGTGCACACGCTGCATAATTCTACATATGTTGTGTACAAGTTAAAAAGTTATTTTTCAGTACAACGTAACCAACGTAACCAAAATAACCACAACCATGACGTTTTGCTTTCACAGCCCAGTGATTAAGAACAGTGTTTGTCGAAAGCATTGCAAAACATTTCAGCCATAAAAGCTACGAGATTTAGTTCTTGTGCCTTGAAACGAAAGAATGACTAAGCATTGCAGTAGGTAGTTCTTATTGTGATATATGAATATGTGGTTTAATTAGCTGAATCTAGTGTGATTTAACATCTTGGTTCATGTGAGTACTGACTTTTCCCAGTTTCCCAATTTCCCAAACAATGCTCAACTAGAGTGAAATGTGCAGGGTTGCTCTTCATTAAATTAGAAGGGCAGCTCCACCTATATCATGTCATAGTTGCTTCCTTAGCTCCAGAGGGGGGCACTCTGGCACAGACATATGGACTCTATACTACAAAATTTTGGCCAGTCAGAAAGCCAGATTTTTCTAATTAATCTTTCCAGTGCGCTGGTATTAGACAGAGCATTCATCTTCTTTACATCTTTTACATTATGCATCCCCTATTCCACTGTGTTGTGGAATGAAATGGCTACTAGCAAGAACCTATCGCCAGAACTGATGGAAAGTGGCAGGAAGAGGAAGAAGAGTTTATTGGAAATGACACTGTTGATCTTCAGTGTGAGTCATTTGACTGGTAGGGAGCGTGCGAGGAGCGGGGAGGAGCAGAGGGCGATAGCATCACCTGGGCCTCGACAGATGTGACGCCTCCTGTACCTGCCAGGCCCCATTAGACGCAGCTGTTCTAAAAATAAAGCATCAGGGCTTCCTTTTTGCAGCGGGGAAATCGGATCCTGTTCCATTCCTGTAAAGTTCAAATGAGACACGTGCCTGCTACCCGCTTGGCCACACAAATGAGCACCTGCATAATCAATAAGGCCATGCTGCCTGGTCTCTACTGCTGGTGTTGTAGCTGTGGTGTCAGTCCATGTTCCTGTAGTCACGCCTCACACAGCAGGAATTCTCAAACTCACCAGCTGAAGCTGGTGCTACTGCTCATTACTGTTCCTCCTACCTTGGAGCTCCAGGGTTGGAAGTGGGCGAGAACCCCGAGGAGATCAACACAGAGACAGCCACTTAAACTGTCGACTGGGATTTAGCAAGGAGCGACAGGAGGACAGACATCTAGCTAGATACTGGGCGTCAATGGAGGGAGCTGCGCAGCTGTAAAGTCAACCCTGGACAGGTGTTAGAGAGAAATGAGCCTGACCCCTGTCCATGGCAGAAAAGGTGAAACATGAAGTGAGGCAACAGCCCGTCTATAGCGCACGTGACTTTGACTCAGTTGTCCCTCCATCTTTCACATTTTCACTGAGGTGTCACTATTACAACTTAAATGGGCAGAGTGCAGTTTTACAGGCCTCCTGCAGTGTGTTAATGTTTTGGGACAAAAGTCTCATCTCGGTCCTGGCCCGAGGAGATCTAATGGCGGCTTTACAAGGCTAATTAACAAGCCATGAGCGAAGTAATGAACTTTCCAAATGTGCTGGCAAACGCAAAAATAAATTACACCCCAGTGAAGGCATTAAAGGAAGTGTGAGTGTACTTGGGAGCCTTCCTTTGGGAGAGCCACGGTGAGAAAATGAATTTGGAGCTGCTATCTTTTCATTGCCTGACCTAAGAGTGTCTCAGTCGGCACACTGCATGCCCTGGCCAGAGTATAGATTGCTATTAATTAGTCCGCTTTGCACCTGTCTCCATAGTAGCTCTTATTGGATTTTGCAAGTTCCCGCTCATCTCCTATGGCCACTCGCATGCGTTAAATTGGCATTTTATGAATATGAATAAATATCTTGTAATGCACCCTCTGCACAAGGAGATGACTCCGTGACTCCAAAGAGTTATCCATTAAAAGTGGGGAGAGGAGAAAAAGAAAAAGAATACTCCTCTCGAGTACAGTCATGTATTTGCATTAAAAGGGGTGAGGACCTTCCTATGGAACTGTCTGAGGATACAGAAGTATGACAAAACTCATTGAGCTGACTGTTTGACCTCTTTGTACTTATCTCTCATTGAGAGGGGCTCATCTTATCCCTCTAACAGAGCTGAGCCACACAGCTGGAGAACATTTGAGCTCTACAGCACTTCTCTGCTCTACTCTAAAGAGACCTTTGTAATCTGCACTTTCAAACCTAGCCACTACTTTAAAATAATAATGTGTGTGCGAGTGTGTGTGTGTGTGTGTGTGTGTGTGTGTGTGTGTGTGTGTGTGTGTGTGTGTGTGTGTGTGTGTGTGTGTGTGTGTGTGTGTGTGTGTAGTTAGGAAGCCTGACTATAGCAGTTAGATTCTTTGTGTCATTGCATCTTCAAATATTACTAATTAATCCATATATCTCTGGAGCATTTCTGCTGTATACATTAAAATGTAATCAGATTCAAGGATACATAGGCTATATAAAAATGGGTTTAGGTGTATTGATTTTGCTTGTCAACACATGCTTTCATATTTTTTATTATACTTATGTATAATAAATAATAATAATAATAATAATGTATATTGTGTGTATATAGCATACCAGTGTCTATGTGCGTTTGTGTGTGAAGGCAAATAAAGTTTCAGGCCTTAGCCAGTGCACGCTTGCTTCCTTTTGCACACAAAATAATCCACACATCTTCTTTGTTTCCCCCAAGTGCCTCATCTCCTGACTGGAGGTGAGAGCAATTGTGTTGAAAATGTTTCCATGTCAGTCTAAAGCCATGTCCAAACTGAGGTGGCATGTGGACAGCCCCATTTTATGAATGCAAATAAAAAAGGAGATCAAAAAAGTTATCAAAACACTACTGACATCTGACAATTGCTTGTCTCAGGAAGCCTTTTCATTTCAGCGCCCGGTATATTAAAAATTAATGGATTTTGCACAGACGCCATATGCTGTCAAGATTGATGCTTCTCTCCATGGAGTAAAGTGCTACTTGTGTTGTAGGCTGCAGTATATGCATATAGATCGTGCTTTACTTTTTCCTTTCTCCTTTCTTGTCTTTCTGTCTCTCTATTGCTCTGTATTTCTCTCTTTACCCTTTATTGTCATCCCTCACCCTACTGTTTCTCTCTAGGCAAAGAATCAGTTACTGAGAAGTCTACTCCTCAAAAGTTTCTGCTTTTGTTTGCCAATAATGGGAATATTCTCTTTAAAGAATTACTCTCCTGCTCCTGTGTCGTGGTACATTTTTTTTTTTTTTTCATGATTCTATCACTTACTGCCCGTTGGCAGTAGTCAGGGAAGCTTGCTAGTAGTAAGTGTTCAGAAAGCATGGACAGCTGCATCCAACGATAAAAGATGCCTGCTAGGCCGCTGGGTGCATTTCAAATGCAGAGTAATGTTCCAGGCAGCACAACAGAGAAGTTGTGCTTCTTATGGTCTCATTAGAAAAGCCTGATGCTGGTGTGCAGCTGCCTGGGAGGCCCGCCACCAGTCACACTCACACATGTAGGCGTACAGACCGGGTGTACAAAATGTTGGAAACGGCTTCTTAATATTGAGTTCATCATCTACTATATGTTCCAATAGAGTAAAAGCAGGAGTCTGTTTGGAATCAAAAGGTGCCATTTGCTTTCAGAATAGGCTTTTAGATAATGAGCATTAGACATTTGCACAGTATGGAAAGAAAAACTAATAATAATCACATATCACAGATGCTCTTTTGTTATTGCTACTGTTATAACTGTTTAAATATGTGCTTGATAGTACTCTATAGAACATGCTACATTCTGTTTAAAATTTGTAACAAATCAGGCATGTCACAGAATAACATGTTTGATCATACAACAATAATTGTATTACCTGTCATTTTAGAATTATTGGATATGTAATTTTTGATGCTGCATAGTGAGAGAGAGACAATTACTTGCTATAATGGCAATGAGTGAACAGGGTGACTGAAAGGTAACCACATGAGATGAATTTCAGAATTGACCAGAGAAAAACCACATAAAGACAAATGGAAGCATTAAAACTAAAATAAAAATGTTTCTGATGTAACTTAGACATGTATCTCACATCGTGCAATTGCTGGTCAGCATTAAAAATATGCCTACAACCTTTCCTTAGCATGGAAATGATGCACCCAACCAACAATTTTCCAGGTTGAGACGGTTTACAGTGGTTTTCTTGTTTATTGTTGTTGTAGTACAGCAAAAGTATGGTGTTTTATTCCGAACTGATATAATGTTAGAGTTAAAAAATGCTCAAACTGTATGTAGGATTCACTGTCAATATGCACAGTTCACTTGCAGTATTGAAGTTAATGTATAAAGTGCAATGTAATGTACTGAGGTAATTGTAAAACGACCTGCATGATATATGATTGGTTAAGCTGCATGTCTCAACCCCCACAATCATTCCTTTTGTCTTTACGTAACACCTTCAACAACATAATAAGCCCCATTCTGCTTGTAACTCATGTTTAGTTCCTACCCAGCTAACACAAGTAATTAGACCCCATCCCTGTGAAAATGATGTGCAACCACACACTAAACCTTTCTGCTGCTGGTCCCAATCTGATGTATGCAAGTGGATTATCCAGTATAGTGAGGTGGTAAATGGAATAATCAGAGGAGAACAAACATTCAAATTGTCAGTGTATCAGGCACGATGAGAGGATACAGGCTTCGTGTTTGTAAATACACTACTTATACCACTCGAGCTGTGACATCCATTTACCCAGGGGAGGGGGAGGTGAGCTTTAAACATTCTGGTATGCAAAACAATTGAGGAAACTTTTGAGAAATTGCCTGTTGCGGCTTCTGTCCAAATATTTTAACTCCTTCTTTTTCAACATTAGAAATATCTTCTCTGAGGGCAAGGCCCAATCATGGAATTCTGCAAAAGAGTCATTTAAATTAATACCTTAACCTTTAATACCTTGCAATGGTCACTGTCAGGAAATTCCTGAATTCTTTTGTCTGTCCCTGTGTCTCTGTGTGTATTTCTCTGCACACACGTATCAGCTGCTGCAAGGGTTCTTCTTGACTTTTCAGAGTTTTGCACGATCGTGTCCAGAGGCACAGAGGGATCTTTTGGCTTCATTTGCATGTAAAGTGGAGCGCGCTCTTCTGTGGGCGTGAGGGGCCTCCAGACAGCCCCTCCCCTGTGGCCTGCCAGACTGAGCCAGCCAGCAGCCCTCACTCTTCCCCTACCTGCTGGGGTGGGGCATGACAGCACAGTGCGCAACATCTTAAGGTCCTGTCAATCTCTTCACTGCCCGACTGGGGTCAACCTTGTGAAGAGCAGCAGGTTGGCAAGGACAAACATGACCCATTCACAAAGACTCCCCTCAGCCAGACAGACAAAAGGCATGGACAAGATATTAAAAAGGCTCACAGAGCGGCTGCTGAGTATCAAATGCAGCAATTGCAATGCTCCTGGCACTGTATAAGTATCCAATAAAATAAAAGTATAGGGATAAGTATAGGGAGCTAATAAACAAGTAGGGTAAGGAGACTATGTGTAGACAAATGCACTGAGAGTGGCACTTTGTGAAAAAGTCAATGTTGATGGAGGTTGCTGGGCATTTCGGGAGAGTGTTGAAACCGTCTTATCAGAGTTAATAAAAGGAGAGGGTGTTGCTGGCTGACCCATCATCTCTCTTCTCATCAGTGTGGTCTCCAGTCTCACAGCAGTGGCTAGAGGAGTGGGACCTGGCTCCAAGATTGTGTTTAGATAATGGCCATCTCCAATCATAGATAATCTGGCCCCATCTTTTCTTCACAGACATAGCGGCAGACAAGGTCAGGGGGAAAAAGATTCCTGGCGAGGCGAGGAGGAGATAGGGATGGGGCGGCTCTGAGATGATTTACTGCTGAGATTCACTCAGCTGCCTCCATCACCCTCCGTTAACTTTCTCATCCTGTCGTCTCTTCCCCTCTCGCTCTTTTTGTCTTCCATCTTTCACTCTCTTGCATTCCTCCATGGGCCTTGTACTGAATCCCCACCTCTCTCTCTATCACTCGCTTCATCTCTCCCTTTGCACTGCAATACCAATGAGACAGAAGGAAGGAAAAAGAGAAAGACAGGAGGCAATAGAGAGAGAGCAAGAGATGTCTACTTTTCCTCATTTCTGCCCCTTTCGAGTTGAGGAAAATTGCTTGGGTTTCAAGTAGAGATATAGTATCGTGTCTGTTCCTGCACTGACCACCGAATGAGTGAGCAGACGACCCATGCCTCGATTGTGTCTCAATATCTCTGAGTTGAAATCATGGTTTGATCGAATTGGGTAGAAAAAAAGTGAAGTTAAGCACATCAGATAAATGTGGAGTTTGTGGGGAAGAGGTCAGCTGATTCAGGGAACAGAAATAGATTTAAAGGCTGTGAAGCTCCCCTCCCATGCTCCATTCTTTCTTGATAATCCAAGGAAAAAATAAAATAAGACATGAGTCATTGTAATAGACAGCCAGAGAATCAGCTCTGTGATCCACAATGGCAGCCGAGCGGCAGGATTTTGTGGCACCGAGCCCCCCTAGTCATTTTCTGAGCTCTGGTCTTATTCCTCCTGACACTCCCATATCCCCAGAGAGAGGATGTCTCTCAGGGACACTGTGAACAAAAGAGGGGCTACTGGAGTCTCCAAATGGAGTAATGGGCCCTATTGCCTGCACAGGCACATAATCAAGACCCCTGTACAAGTTCCCATGACAGATAATTGCTGATGTCTTGGTAGTGATAAATGTGATTCCATTCTAGAGGTGCAAATGTCCCAGTTCAGCCGTGGGTTTGACAATCTAGAGGCCCCACTGGGACTAGTGTACCTGACTGGTCCACAACCTTCCACAGATGAATCCCTCGCCACTTTCTCTCCTTTAGTCAGCCCTCACTGGGCTGTCTATTTTCCTTTAACCACAGGCCTTCATAGTAAATCTCATTTCATTGTCAGCAGCGACTGTGGTTTACTTCCCTGGCCTGTCTGCTGACTTCCTGTTGCCATTAACGCTCAATATCTCTGTTGGGGCCTGTCTGCTTGGTCTTATTTCATTCTGTGCTGTGTCCTATCCTGTCCTCCCATATAGAAAGTTCATCTGACAGACTAGCAGGGGCTGTGCCAGCCTAAGAGCCCTCTGTATTTCATTCACACTGCCTGTTCATCTCCCTTCTCTTTCTGCTGAAAAAGGGTAGTAATTGATATTGGGACCCATCTATCCTCCCCTCTTAAGCCCAGAGATCCAATTTATCTTGGTGAGAATGCCGATTGGCTCTCGCCCAAGCCTTGTCGGTCAGACTTTGCCTGTTTTTAGATGGCCGTTAATTAAAGTGCCGCCATGACAAAAATAAGATCTACATGGGGGTGTGTGTGGCAATAGCAATGGGCCATCTGATTCACACTTGACCACATAAATCAGTGAAGTGGCTCAGTCTAATCTGACCTAGGCAGTCTAAATCACCACTCTGAAATGCAAGCACAGGGCAGACACAGACCGGTCCAATTAGATCCAATTCCATCCATGTAAATCTTTAACTGGCTTAATCTGCATTAACCTCACTGATGTTAGTCACAAATGGCTCCAGAATAATCTAGTCAATCACCATGTCAGTCAGACTAAAGATGGTGGGAGGAGACTGCGCAAGAGAAACAGTACAAAGTCAATGCAGAATTGCACATTTGCTTTAAATAGGTGGGTTTACTTTACTAAAAAAATATTCTTTTAATACAAATGAGCTCATCTAATTTATAGAAAGTCAGAAACGCATTGAATCACACTGAATATGACTCAAATAACTTTTAGGTGGTTTAACTATGATTTTAGGGAAGTGATGCTCTGATTGCTCGACCAAAACAAACATATTCCAAACTCCTTAAATCATGATATGTTCTACTTTCAGAGACTTATATTATCTCTTCCCTTCATGTAGCGGCTACTAAATGACCAAAAGTAATAGCTCTGTGGTGTCCATAAGTTTGTGTGTTTGTGCCTATCCGTTTGTGTTTGGGGTGTATTCCCCTGCCTCTTATCTGTAACCAAACTTTACTACACTCTATGGTGATCAAGGGATGGAGATCTTCCCATTCTTTTCAGTTATCTCTCTCTCTCTTTAATTTCTCTCTCTTTCACTCCATGTCTATCTGTCTTGTCTTTGAACCACTCCCAGTGACTGTGAACCTGAGACAGCCCCTCTGCTGGCACAGATGGGAAGTCAATAGAAGCAAGTGACCTATATTACGGACTACTCTACTAACTCCCAGTGTGTCTCAAGTGAGAGCAGAATATTAAGGATTGCGTGTGTGCTGTACCAGTGTATTTGTGTGTTTGTGTGTGTTTTTTAAGGGGGGTGTGCAACAGAGACCAGGAGAAGGTTAATTACCTCCTCGTCCTTCGCTGTCGGCTGGCTTCACCTGGATGGGCCGGTTCATCTGGAGAGAGAGAGAGAAGTAGAGGGAGAGAAGGAAAGAGAGAGAAGGGAAATCCCAGGTTAGCACAAAATGATAGGAGCAACCGCTACAATATGTGAACTGGGAAGAGAACAAGTGAAATGTGGCAGTGTTCCTGGCGTTAATGTCCAGAGTTTGTCCTGTTCTGAGAGCTAAACGCAAAAATCAAACAGTGACGATGCCGTAAAAGAGATAAATCTGTGCAGTGCTCCATGCCAGCGTGTTTAATTAATCCAGGGCACTGCCTCTAGAGATGCCTGAATTCCCCTCACAGTTCAGCAGAATTAGCACTTTTCAATGACGGAGCCACACTGGGTGTCAGATGGCACTTGGAGATTAATGCCATTACATCAGCCACTCCCAGCCCCACAGGGAGAGGTCCTTTCAGGCTGGCCCTTGCTCTTCCTGTCCCCTCCTGGCTCCAGACTCCTAGTCACCAGCTATATCCTGCTCATCCCTGACCCTTAGCAATCCCTCTTTTTCTGCCTCCATCCCTTCCTTCTCCATCTCACCTCTCTACCCAGAAACCCCTTTTGCAACTCATAGCCAATATGCCACTGGTCTGGACATACAACCCCACCCTGCCCCAGCCTCCTCCTCCTGGAAGCTATTGAGAGCCACCGAACAGCGTAGCTGTGAAACAGCTTGTGAAAGGTTAACAGTCGGGAATCGATAAACAACCTTTGAAGATCCATTCTATAGTGAGGTGAAAGCAAAATGTTGCCAAGCTAACATAAAAAAACCCTTTTAAAAACTGCCTGCCGTGAATAAAAATTCCCCTGGTTCTTTTTGCTCCCCTGTCTATGGTTTCATTTTTTCGCACTCCCTGGAGTTTGAATATGAAAACAGAAAAACACTCGATCTTGTGCCTTCTCTGAAACAGGAATAATATCCCCTCTTTACTCTGTGAAAAGGGTGGGTGTTAAGAGCCACCCTTGAAGACCCTTGCTTATTGAGGCTACCCACGCATGTCATATTTGGCATTGTGTTTTATATTTGGCATGGTGTTTTTCTGGCTTCAATCGGCAGTGGGCTTATCTTTCTAACTAGGCCATGCGGACAGGTCCAACATGTGAGTACCAGTGAATGGCACATGGTACTGCCCCCTCAGATCAGTCAGCTAGGGCAGCACAGTGGGTGTTGGGCCCTCAGGCAACACAGCACTTGACAGCAGTTGACCACGGCCAAATATAGACCTAAGACTGCTGGACATGTATAGACAAGCGTATACATGGCGACACCCTGGGGACGTAATGTACTCATCTAGCAATATGCTGTGACACTGGAACAAAGCTTAGAGAGATGAGCTGCATCACAAAGACAAGCAAAGGAAGCCGTGCACACACACACACAGATACATAGACACAGGGGCAGTCACACTCATACAAATAGACCTGGGCACACACTTATCTCCAGATGTAAATGATAACTGTAACTTTGTCTCCAAATATGGAAAAACAAAGGCAAAGGTACAAATAAGCATCATCTGTTGTTCTTCTTAAGGTGCAAAACATTGATAGTGTTTGACTTTGCAGACAATAACAAACAAATACTGTAAGTCAGCACTAACTGGAATTATACCTTCTTCACAAATTTCCTTTCATATTATAGTATGTTGGGGGATGCTGCCTTACGGTTACAATGACCATCCTTAAAGGTCATGTTATACTCTGTCAGTGTTTGATGAGTTGAAGCATCACTGAGAAAGACACTGACCTGTTGACTCACTGTTAGTCACTCTGGATAAACATCATGCGAATGCTAGCAGCATGATTCTCACAGATATTATGTGTCCTTTAACAGTTATTAGATTACATTAAAAGTAAAGCAGAGGTGATAAATTAAAATTCAATTGTGATTCCAGATGTTTGAGCTACAGTCCTTACTGTGTTGGGGGCTGGCTTACTTTGGCTCTGGGAGAATGGAGTACACATAGAGTCCTGGTGGTTTGGTTTGTGTTTATAGTGTGGATCAAGGGCTAAAGGGGCCCTTAGCATCATTATTTTCACCTTTGTAGGGTCTTAAACCAACCATTCTACTCTTTCTGGCTGGATAACAGCCATCCATATTGCACTGAATAGGTTTACTTGTGAGTCTGAGGTAAAGTTCAGGTAGGGTGAAGCACTGATGTATGTGAGTGTGCAGTGGGGAGAATTAAGGTCAGTTGGAGCATTGTAAGCAGTAAGTTAAGGTATGCTCTGTGTACATATTGTAGGTGTGTGTCTTTTTACAGCAGCTCGAGTTGGGGCCAGAATTTGTCTCACATAAGAGGTTTAGGGTAGCCTGAAGTCCCAAGATCCCTGTCCAGTGATCAGTCAGCTTCCAGGTCTTAAACAGCAGCGATTGGTCAGGAGGCTTCATTAGTAGCCCCTGAGCCACTGCAGCAACAAGAGTCATTAGACAACCCAAAAGTACACTTGGGGTTGCTAGGCAACCGAGCGGAGGTGGCCGGCAGGCAGTCAAGGAAAGCTGGCCGTTGGTCTGCGGGCTGTTAGCCAACCAATTGGCACTCCTTTCTTTCTTCTTTTTTTCTTTACTTGGTCCAAGGAGGTCATAGTGATAGGGGAGGAAAAAAGATTTCTCAACTCCCACCTTCCAGCATGTCCCACTTTCATGTCCCTTTTTAGTGACTGTGACAATGAGTTTTCAGAGCGAGTCTGCTGCAACTTCTGCTCCAGCTTCCTGCCAAATTATGGAGTTCAGCTTCATGCCAAACTATGGAGTTGTGAGTAGCGCTCACATGAAGATGGCAGTAGTTAAGACGTCTACTTCTTTTAGCTACTTTATAGTTTTACTCTACATAAATTTTTCTTGTGCAAACAGAGAAAATGTTTCTAGTACAGAAATCGTTGACTTTACTTTACTTTTATCCCCTTCTCTCTCACTCGCTCTTTTTCTCTCTTCTTCTCTCTCTCTCTCCCACTGTCACACATACACACACAGAGGCACAAAAAGTCTAGGGGCTCAATAACAGCAGGTGGCTTAGGTGACATTTTAATCCCTTATTACTGAGTGCAGGATTAGCCAACAGATCAAGGCAGAGTTAATTATATGAATTCATCAGAGGCTGGGCGAAGAGGCAGCCTGCTTTCCCCTAGGGCCAGGACCCACCCCCAACCCACCACCCACCCTTTGCACACACACACACACACACACACACACACACACACAAATTCACACACACACACACACACACACACACACACACACACACTCACTCTAAGGAAGAAGACAAGTGACATTCTGTCTGTCTGAGGAGCTAGCTAGCTTCTTGTTAGCATTGCAGCGGCAGAAAGCTAAGATAACACATACAGTGCAGCCTCCAGAGATGCTGTAAGACAAATGACATCTACTACCTTCCCGTTGGGCCCTGCAAAATGAACTGCATAGACATTGGAGAGGAAGACTACAGGCTTTTTCAACCTACAGACGTGTGGCTGCCGAGGCTGAAAGGAGTTCAACACCCCCCCGTCTTGCTTTATCTTTGTCTCTCTCTGCCCCTTTGGCCTCCAAAACCAATATGCTTCCCACCACAGCCCCGTAATGGGTTGATCAATGCTGACAAATAGGCAGCTCATGCTGTCTTGCCTGGGAACTCACAGCTCTGTGCCTGTGTGCTGCTGCACTTAGAGAGGCCATCTCTCTTTCTCCTCTTCTCTCCCTTTTTCTGTCTCCCTCCTTCTTTCACTCACTTTTTTTCCTCTCCATATTCCCCCCTCCCTCATGCTCTATTTCCTTTATGTCTATACATTCACTTTTTACTTTGTTCTAATCTCCAGAGGCAAATCTATACTTTTCATTCTGTTATGATGAATAAAAGTCGGCTGAAGTCACGGAGGGGTGGGAAACCAACAGCGTGGAAGAGAGGAACTTGCTTACATTTTCCAGGAGAGGACTGTGTGTACGTTTCAGAGTGTATGTGCGTGTGTGTTTGTATCAACACACATTTCAGTCATCTATCTTTGGCTAGTCTGTCTGATTGATAACAGTGCAGTGGAGAGAAAGAGAGACAAGGACACTGCTGGCCTTTGACCGTGTTTGACCATGCTTTGTGAATACCACTGCTCACAAGCAAGCAAGGAGAAATGCTATCTACCAGACACTCAATTAAATACAGAAAAATGTTCTCTCAGAACCATAAGAAAAATGTGAGCAGTTCATCCAATGTTGAGTCTCTCTGGTTGTATCTCTTACACTTATTTTCTTTTTAGATTCCTAGCATTATCCAGTGTGAAGATGAATTTTTAAGTGATCCGAATATATATGAATGAATTTAAATGCATTTATTTTTGTAACTCAATGTCAGTTGTTACCTTCTATTTTATCTTCTTCTACTCATCTACCCATTTTAGGGACATGTTAAACAACTATGATTACTTAACTGTATCTGCTGTAATAATGTATGCATCAGACAGAACTAAATACAGGTGATAAAAAGATAATACCGATGTCTTCTGTGTAGATATTTGGTAAAGTGAGCACTGGGCTAAATCCACAACAAGCTCTTTGAGTGCTGCTCGTGCAAAAAATGTCAAGGCACTCTGAAAAAGGCAGCAAACTAAATGCATACAATACAAAATGAAAGATATTTCCAAATGATGGTTTAACTTGCTAGCTTTGTCATATTGGGTCCTGCTTTAATTATACATTTACAACAATCCACGCAAGTGCCGCATTCACGCTTGAAAGGTGAGTTGGGTGAAGTGGGATATTAATAGGGGGGTGTGGTGATGAATTATTACCTTCTCAGCCAGTCACATTACTCATCTCATAACTTTGAAACAGCTGTTTTAATTACAGTGGCACATGAATAATATGGCTCACCAAATTAAGGGAAGATTGTTGACCGGTTGGTACCTCTAAGATGAATTTACGTTTGTGGACATGCATATCATCAATGTAACAATGCATTGTTTTACTGTAAAAGAGACTTTGATTCAATTTAACCATATGTACAGTAAAAGTAGTCAAATAAAAGTAAA